CCTCTCCTTCTCCCTCTCCTTCTCCCTCTCCTTCTCCCTCTCCTTCTCCCTCTCCTTCTCCCTCTCCTTCTCCCTCTCCTTCTCCCTCGTCTGCATATCCCGTACCACACCCCAAGCCGTGTCCAGCCCGCGCCTCGTGTTCTCAAAGTACGTGTGGGAAAAGGCACTGCTAGCCTGGCCCGTCAGCGTGCGTGCCTGAATCCCATGGCTAATCGTGCTTCCCTATCGTATCATCAGCGCCATCACTACAGCCCTCAACCCCCCCGTGAAATACTCACCCGCAACAAATGAAACACCTTCGCGACCTCCCACCCCTCGCCCCTCGGATCCCACCCCGCGATCCTCGCATACTCCCCCACCAGCTCGTCGAAACCCGGCATCCCACTCTCCGCCTGCCTTGCAGCATCGTAGCACGCCCCGCCTTGATCGTCCCTCGCTGCCTCCGTTCCACGCGCACGATTCCAATACGGACCCGTCACATACACGGCATCCAGCAGTGGATGGCCGAGCGTGCTAAGCTCCCAGTCCAGCACAGCAATAACCCTGGGCTCGGTAGGATGCAGCACGACGTTATCGAACTTGTAGTCGCCGTGGACGATGCAGCAGCGGTCCGGGGGCGCATTGGCGCGGATGAAAGCCACGATGTCGTCGAAGTGGGGGTGTGCGCGGCCGAGGGGACGGTTAGTGCGCGGGTCTTTGACTCGGGCTTGCTGCGCTTCGATGCGCGAGAAGGTCGTGCAGTGGCGGGGGTAGAAGGCGGATTGCTTGCCGAACTTGGAGAGGCCGAGGGCGTTGGGGTCCAGTGAGTGGAGCCATGCTAGCGTGCTGATGAGGGAGAACCAGGCTGGGCGGCGTTGGGAGGGGGGGAGTGTCGAGAGGTTGGGGTCGGTGATTATGCGGCCTGGGATGTATTGCATTACCTGGGGCGTTTGTTAGGGGGGGTTTGTTGTGTTGTATGTGTGGGATTGTGTTGGGGTGATGGGAGAATCATGTGATTTCTCACTCTCGATCAATCGAACACATCTTACATACGTAAAACACCGTCCCCACTACCCCTTCATCTATACACAAACAATACACCCGAGGTACTGGAAACCCATCTACACTCCCCAACGCCTTCAACACCGTGTACTCGCGCTCCACTTGATGTGCAACGGGCGAGATGATGCGCCCCGCCGGTTTCTTCCGCAGGATGTATCGCGTGTGGTTTGCGTCGTCAATGAAGAACGTTGGGTTGCTTTGGCCGTAACCGATCTTTGTCGAAGTGATGGGGAGGGTGAGGGAAGGGAGGTGGGCGATGAGGTAGGCGCCGAGTTTTGTGTCGTCAAGTGCATGGGCGTGAGATGGTGACGTGGTGGGTTGAGATGGCATGATGGCTTTAGGGTGTTTGTCTTGCTTACTTATTGATATTCTCGATATGTGCAAGACACTGTTCTGGTACTACATTTTGACAATGCGGTGTTGTTGTTCTTGTTCGAGTAAGCTGTGTCGAGCGTCGTTTGTTGTTTAGCCTCGGTGATGATGCTTGAGGCGTCCCGTTCCGTTCATGGGGGCTCGCTAGCTTATTGCGGGGTAGTGAAAGGAAGGTGCGTAGGTACGTACATACCTTCGTAAGCGTCTATATGTCTATTCTTATCGTCCATAGTTGAAAGACACTATATCCACCTTGCCTACCTATGAAATCCCGTCATAAGACCGCCGTACCTTGCTTGACTGTGTCATATCTCCTTCCTCCCGACAAGCTGCCCGTACCACGAATGTCACTACGAAACTTGTACGGGGGTTGGGGGTTCAAGCACTCAAACACCCAAACGCATGGTTTTTCAATACGAAGAGACGAATGGAAAGCGCAATCGAGGTTGAGATTACAAAGCGAAACAAGGGATAGGTTGTGGAAAGTGGCACGCAGCAGAGAGAATGGGTGTAAAAGAATGTTTGTTATTTTTGCGGCACGACACTACGCAAGTCTTTCAATGCAAAATGAGTGAGTCAGTTAGTAAGCGAGCGAGTAGCTGGGTGCTTCAAGAGAAGCGACTGTGATGAACAGCGACAAAAAGTGTGGTATAGCTAGAAGAAGTCTAATGGTCCGCGATATCCTCATCGCGCCCAGGGTACATGATATCGCCGACGATAACGGCGCGAATATGATTAAACAAAACGAAAACCCACATAACGAGAATAGCAATGGTGAGGCCGTTCCCCACAAACAGAATCGTGTCGTCTTTGAGCGTGTTGCCAATCGATATGGTGGCGATGACGAAGCCTGTGTTGGGGAATACCATGGCCCACCAGCCCAGATGGAAGTAGACAGCCCACGAGTTGATGACCTGGGGTTATGTTAGTAACTGCATGGAGTGTCGAAGTGGGTATGGTACTTACGGCAACAAAGGCGATCATGAAGAACCACATGGCCAGCACCCATAGGAACAGTGCGACGACAAGCGCCATCGTTCGGATCACTTTACTGTCTAGTAAACCGTCGCCCTGCAGATCGAAATCATCGGGGAGAGCTTTGGCCATGCCGATGAAAGCCAGAATTGTGAAAGAAGGTGGGCCGACGCCAATGAACATGGCACCTCGGTGCTCTCGATCTGGATAACCAACTTGCATAAGCCTGCCAATGTAATGCGCGTACATCAGAATAGCGACAGTAAAACCCAGCCCCTGACATCCCATCCCCGCGGCGATGATGGGCATTCTCGATGAAACTGGTTGGCTGGCCGCAATGACTGAAGCAATGGTACCCGAAAGCATAACTGGGAAGATGGGAAGAAGCCAAGAGGGCATGAAGCTGGTGAGCTTGTACGTGTGCGCGCAGAAACAGAACGAGTATTGGAAGGCCGCAAGACAGAAGGCGAAGAAGGTGTAGAGCCAGAAGGCTATGGCCATGGTGGTGATAGCCCACGCCCGGTTTGGATGATTGTCTTCGTATGATTCGATGATATACTTCTGGGTTCCCGTAATGATTGTGGCAATCGAGAGGAAGAAAGGCCCGAGAAACAGAGCCTCGCGTTCGTGCGTGATTGATGCTTTGAAGGTGCCGGGGAACTTGGTGAAGCGAAGGACCATGGTGGTAGTGACACTAGCAAAGAAGACCAGGTTCATAATGTAGAAGATAGCACCAATTGTGATGAGACCAGGGAAGGGATGTGGCTGAACCGCAATCAGAGTGCTGATGCCGCCTGTAGCCATAGTCAATGTGTACCATGCCCATGTGAAGTGGCGAAGTCGTTCGCCGTACGTCATATATGGCTGGTTCGGATCCTTCTTGTGTGGAATCTTTGTGTTGTGATCCCAACCCTTGTGGTCATGGCCGTCGTCGTGCCCATGCTTCTCGATGTCTACGGACGCAGGTAGCGACCGGGGTAACAAAGACTGCTGGGCAAACGTGCGAACGGGCAGAGCTGGGTCATTGAATGGACTTTCCGCCTGTTGGTCTTTGATATCAATTGGATAGCCATTGCTATCAACTGGCCCAGTAAAGTATCCGTCTCCAGATGGGTGCGGGCCATTAGGCGTATGTACCCACGTATTGGTGCGGGTAGTGTCGTTAGATTGGAGTGAAGACTGTGACTGTTGGGGATTGAGTTGAGGTGGCGATTGGCTTCGTTGTGGATCTGATAGGCGAGAGTAATTGTTTGACTGAGGAGGGTAAACGTTCTCCTGTGGACCGGATATGCGAGGACCACCTTGAAAACCGTATTGGGCTTGTTGAGATGGGCTGCCTGATGGAATACCGTATTGCTGTTGTTGCCGGCTCGGCTGGAGAGGGTACTGGGGTTGTTGCTGACCAGGTTGGACAGCATATCGGGCTTGGTTTTCATTGTCGAAATTAGGATTGAATGTGTCTTTGGTGTCGTAAGACAGTCCTTCAGGCTGGAATCGGCTGTCCATCTCTGCTGAAATCTAAGAGGTGCCTGCACCAAGAAAAACTAACAAACGGAAACGGTTGAGAATAAGTCAAAGATAGAAAACATGCAGGACGCAGGCAATGTATAAACACGATAAACAAGGATTAAATCAGCACCGGGCCGCTAGAAAACGAAATGTGCAATGGGCAGGATGGAGGCGGAGTAATAACCACTGTAGATCTTGATCTCAGCTTGGGAGGTTAGACTGTACCCACGCCTGTGCGTTTCGAACCTTGTCCCATCATGTAGACTAACAAACTCGGGCGGTTATTGAAGCGACTCTGAGCAGCAATGTAGGGGTGGAGTCAAATCTGAGCAAGCTTGGCGGTCTTGAAGTGTTGCGTACCCTCCCCTGGTCCCACAAGAAGCACCGAATAAGACCTCTGAAAGTGTCTACGCACGTGCATTTGCATAGCCTTCTGAAGTCCATTCCGCCTCATAGCATTCCGGAAACAAGATTGTAACCTTGGCAGTATCCGCTCCGCCTAGACGTTGACGTGTGTCCATCTCCTTATGCTTAACATAGATTTGTTGAGCTCGCTAGATCTGCGCAACCAACGTCATGTCTTGTTGTGTCAAGGAGCAATTTCGCTGTGAAAGGCATCACCCGCAGGTGGCATGCCGGCTATCATTGCATAATCCTGGTGTAGGTGTGGTTCACCGAGAACAACTTGGCAAATCTCCTGGACCAAGGCTTTGTTCCTATTGGGGAGCTCGAGGACCCGTGCACATATGGAGATGTCCGCGAGAGAAGCTTCGGGCATGAAAGCGAAGAAGGTCATCGTCGCCGAACAGGGCCCGTTTTACTATCCTAGAGCCTCAGACGGTTGGGTTTGGGGTTGCTGGCGTGGACAACCATGGACTGGTGCAGACAGTTATCTTCTCAAGGAAAATCATGGCCAAGACGGACGCCAGAGACGGGTGATTGACAGCAGAAAGTGAGGGCAAGGGTTTGTGCTGCGGAAAGAGTCTGAAACTGGCGACGAAACGTCAAAAGCGGATCCAGGAGTATCGGACTTGATGCCAAGCATCCCGCGCGACAAACTCCTTGAGCGAAGGTCCACTGATATGGGGACCACGGAGCCACAGCCGCAAGCCAGAGAAGCTTATTTTGTGCACGGAGCCCAACAAAAAGTGACCCCTTTACGCGCTAGCTCCTTGGAAAACGGGTTGGGAGAGCCTCAAAGTCACCGAAATTGTGTCAAGAATGCCGCAGACGCCCACTCGAACGTTTGGCGTTGCTTTAGCCAAGCCTGGCCTTGGGCAAAAAGCATATTTCTACCTCACCGGGCAACTTCTTCGCGATATGTGTCGCAAATGCCCATCGTCGGGGGTTTTTCCTAGGCGAAAGTTGCCGACTGAACCAGGGTGGATATCTTGCGGCTTCTGTGCGCAGCACACAACTGCAAAAATTACGCGTCGCAGTCGCTGTGCTTAGCTTCTTATCCGATGATCATCTCATCCAACACGTACCTCAGCGAGGATATCGACTCTAACCTGCAGCCCGTTGACGTCAGGCGCCTCTTGACCTGCCAATTGAGCACTGAATCCGCCATATGTGTATGTCGGCGAAGCCCACAGTGTCCACAGCTCCAAATGAAAAGAATGGAGATAAGACTCAGCGGGTGGCGGAGCACTTGATGGAGATCTGCCGCCAGCAGGAAGCACGTTATGCTGCCAAGCCCGAAAGCGTGAGTCAACGCAAGCCTGCGATCAACATCGATCAATTCCTGATGCGCCGAAGACCAGTAAAGATACCATCTGCACAGTATCCAACTCAAGGTGTGACACAATTTCCGTTAATTTTATCTCCGGGATAGGGACATCACCGAGGAGGCCTGGCTGGTCGCGGGTAGTGGCAGGAACATGGTCTTGGGTAGAGATAACAGGCCATCGATGAACACAAGCATGTCGATTGGCGACGTCTTGATATCTAGTCGCTGACGAAGTTCTAGAACAGTGTTTTCCTTGCGATGCTCATCAGCCCCTTTCTCCCCTAGAACATGCACAACACCACCTTTTGATTTATTCGTCAGCTCGAGCGCAATACTCTCTGCCAAAAGGCAATTCCATTTGGGCAGATACCATCTGTTTTTTGCAATTTCTTATCCCTCTTGACAAGCTCGCAGCTATCACTATCTGTATCCGCTTCCTGATGACGGACCTCTCACAGAAACGGCAGGTACTCCCAGATATGGCGACCACAGTTTTCGAACCTCCATTCGGTCCGCTACGCGCCCTAGAGTGTTTGCCAAGCAATTATGCGGGTCTGTTCACCCTTTTCACGTCAGAGATGAAATTCCGTTTGCCTCTGTTAAAGATGACACGAAGAAGGTTGGTCTGAAGATGTCCTGTAGTCCCCTTCGAAATGATGGGACCCCTTGTTTTACGGCTTCATTATGGTGGGAAAAAAACAAGTCTAGCATCCACAACTTCACATGAAAGAAATCCACAACCACCGAATCCAGCCACCCTACGTGTCAAATAGGCAGGACGTCGGCCAACGGGCATGCGACGTCTCTATACGCACTTTTCACCGACCCCAATCGTGACGTTCTTTTCTGCCCTCTGGCTAATTGGAGACCGCGAAATAGAGTGTTCATGCATCGCATCGATACTAATCCTTCGGGCTTCTGTCTCAGTGAAGGTACCGTACAGGTCGACTGAATCCATTTGACCCATGTCGGGAACCGGGTAAATGAGGTTGAGGGTGTAGAACACAAGAGCGCTAATGAAGAAGCCTGCAACAAGTGTGAATATTCATTAACAAGTGCTGCCGTAGGATTCCGCAATACGAACCGATCAAAAACGCCATGTAATATAGCTGAATCACTACTTTCGGAGGGTTTAGGTCGCCCCGAACAGTCATGATGAGTCCCCCAATCGTGGGAGCCCATCCGCTTATCCAAGCTGGTATTGCCCGCCAGTTGAAACCCTTCCAGAAGTAGTAGCACGAGTCTTCCGTATGGTACAAATGGCTCAGCCGAATTCTTCGTTTTCGTAGAACGTAGTAGTCGCATGCCATAATACCTATGATCGGTGCCAGGAACACCGAGAATGACGATAAGACTGCGATGAAAGTAGTGGCGCGATTGATCAACTGCCATGGCTGAACAATCCAGGCTGCGAGGAACGTGATGATGGCGCCCCGACGGATGTCGATGTAACGGGGGAAGAGCCCTGCTAGATCGATACCACCAGCAATAGCATTACCACATATGTTCTCAAACATCGCTGTCAGAGCAAATCCTGCAGACAAAAAGAACACTCCAGCGCGGGCCTTCGAAGAACCCTTCCCGCTGTCCATCATTACCATCAATAGATCCGGTGGATTCCAGTATACCTCGCCGTAGATTTTCTGCGCAGCAGACGCAGTTACCAGACCAGCAAACGACACGAGAATTCCAGTTATCAAACAGCTGGTAACGGTACCATACACATAGTGTCTGCGTGATTGCGCATACCTTGAAAAGTCTGAGCCGTTTGTGATACCAGCCGCCAACCCGCCTATCGATTGATTGATTCCTGCCATCATCAGCCATGATGAGCCAAACGGTGATCCAGCAGGTATGTTTTGTCCAGCGTGCCAGAGCGGCCCAACGCCTTTCGCGACCGCCAGTGCCCAAATCATCCACGCTAGCATCCCAACTCCACACCAGGTGCACACGATTTGGAAAGGGACCTTGAACTTTTCTGGACGCAGCCAAAGGAACGGAGTTGATAAGAACCAGAAAACAACAAAGCCGACGAACTCGGGTGTCGTCGTGGGCATGCTCGTGCCGAATGTGTTAGGTATCTGTGCAAACGAAGGCCAAATGGCGGTCATGCAGACTGCACAGAGCCGCCCGCCGTTCCAACCTGTATCAGTTCAGCCCCTCTGTAGTTGTCTTGAATGCATGAAGGACCTTACACTGCACAGCATTCCAAACGAAGTTGAGCATGATTCTCTGTAACAACGGGATAAAGCTTCCTCTCATGCCCCAACTATACCTGTTCTGTACGGTAAAGCCGATGTGCCATTTCAATCCAGTCCAAGCGATGAGGGTTGCGAATCCTGCGACGAGCAGTCGACCCACAACGATTACAAGCATTGATTGTGGTACAGATAGACCCATAGCTTCCGTGTGTTAGCAAAAGACAGTTTCGAGGGGTTCCATGCGTACTTAGATACGTGCTGGGGGTCTGCCAGTTCCCAACATTCAGGCTTGCTATGGCCCAAAAGCCGAAGAAGTTGAACCAGCCCCATGTTCTCCGACGTGGAGGTAGAGGAATCAGGTCGCGATTACTCCAAGCACCTGTCTGCTCATGCAGAGTCTCATCACCTTTCAACCGGAGCTTTTGGCCCAACGATGCCCAACTCCCACCTAAGTTCAAACTATGTTTCGACATCTGTGTCTGATTGGAAAGATAGAAAAATATGGTTGTTTCTCACACACGCTGATTGAGTGGTTCGTGCTTTGTATTGCACCACGGAACTGTCCCGGGTTGATTCTTGTTGAAGAAGAAGGAATGACGGGCTAGTTGTTTTTCCGGATGATTTTAGTGACGATCTATCATTTCAGTTACCCACTTCCGGTTCTCGAGGGGGAAGTCAGGATCCGTGGGGACATGATAGCCGTTTTGTGGTGAGGGGTAAAGAACTCGGTATACTCGGATTCGAACAACATATTATCACTGATAAGCCTGCAGCTATCGACCCATCTTATGCAATATGTACTGCACGCACTTCGCATGGTATGGTTATACCATGTTCGTAGTGAACAAGCCGAGGGAGTGTATTCATGCAGGGGTTCACAGACTGCAGTCACGCAAACTGAACTAATGCAAGCCCCCACTACACCTCGTGCCCCACATACACGAAATCTTATCTGATGATCTGATCAAATTTGTGTACCGCCCTCTTCCCCTAACATCCAAAGTGCGATTGATTGTTGCTACTCGCTTGTCAGTTTGTGGTGCGGAGATAACTTATTATGGAAGTCTCAAAGAACCTGCGCATTGGTGTCGATGTCGGCGGGTAAGACTGTACCACGAGTATTAAGGTCAAAACACTGACTTTGAAAAACAGCACAAACACCGATGGAGTTATCATCGATCCTTCCAAATCCGGTGAACCCGGTAGGGGAATTGTTGCTTGGTGAGGGTGCTTCTTTTGACTATACAAGACACGTGATCGGTGCAACTACTGCCTGCCCTCTCACAGTGCAGTGTCATCGAGTCACAAGCATATCCGCTACAATCTGATCCAGTGTCATCTTGAGCATCAACTTGGAAGCTGACACTTTGCAAAGGCACAAAGCCCCAACAACGGCCGATCCAAGCCATGGCATTTCCAACGCTATCACCACCATGTTCGGCTCAGCGTCAGTCGATCCGGACTCTGTAGCCAGCTTGACGATAGGAACGACAGCGTTTATAAATGCTGTTGTAACTCGCGATGTTTCACGCCTTTCCTCTGTTGCAGTGCTTCGTCTCTCCGGACCGTTTAGCAAGCATGCACCACCTTGCGTAGACTGGCCTACCTCCTTGCGCAAGATTATCTTAGGTCACTATGCATTGGTTCAAGGTGGGTTGCAAGTGGACGGTGACTTGATTTCTGATATCAAGGAACAGGAGATTGTAGACCAATGTAAGACTATCAAGGAAAAGGGTATTAAGAGCATCGTTGTGAACGGTGTCTTCAGCCCTATTGACACATCTGAGAAGCAGGAAGAGCGGGCAGCAGAGATCATCAAGCGCGAACTGGGCGATCGAGTCGATATCGTCCTAAGCAAAACCGTCGCTAATCTTGGGTTCCTTGAACGTGAGAATGCAGCTATCTTGAACGCTTCCATCTTGGCATTTGCGCGACGAACAATTGCCTCTTTCCAAGCTCCTATCAAGAAGCTCGGACTGAATTGCCCCGTCTTCATCACACAAAACGATGGCACACTTCTGAGCGGCGAGGCGGCGAGTCGCCTACCGATCCGTACATTTTCCTCAGGCCCAACAAACAGTATGCGTGGAGCTGCTTTCCTTGTAGGACAGCAAGAAAAGGCCGAGGCTATGATGGTAGTCGATGTCGGTGGAACGACGACAGACGTAGGTTTGCTGCTTGCGAACGGATTTCCAAGACAACAAGCAGCATACTCGGAGCTTTCGGGTGTAAGAATGAACTTCTCGTATCCAGATGTAAAGAGCATAGGACTGGGTGGTGGAAGTCTGGTCAGGAGGGTGAATGGGAAGTTACAGGTTGGGCCAGAGTCTGTTGGGTACAAACTGCCAGAGAAGGCGTTAGTCTTCAACGGAGATGTACCGACAGCTACGGACTACGTTGTGGCTGGCTCGTCAGTTGTCAGCATAGGTGAGCCGGAGAGGGTAAGAGGGAAGCTTAACGAGAAAGACGTGGCAGATTTCAAGGCAGAGGTCAAAAAAATACTTGAACGCATCATAGACACGATGAAGACCTCGCCCGAAGACCTTCCTGTCTTGCTTGTTGGAGGCGGCGCAGTTGTAGCACCTGATACACTCAAAGGTGCGAGCAGAGTGATCAAGCCAGAGTGGTCTGGTGTGGCAAACGCAATTGGTGCCGCGATGGCTCGAGTCAGTGCTGTAGTCGACACTATCAAATCTACCGAGGAGAAGACCACCAAGGAACTACTTGCCGAGATATCAGAAGAAGCCAAACAGAGAACAATTGAAGCAGGAGCTTCTCCAGAGTCAGTTGAAATTGTCGAGATAGAAGACTTGCCACTGCCATATGTTGCGAATAAGACCCGCTTTATTGTAAGAGCAGCTGGCGATTTCGATTACTCTCGGTCGAACGACTTTACACAGTCAAATGTCACCAAAGAAGAGGATTCTGCGACTGCATTGAATGATGCGCTTGACACCGTTGCTCCAGAGACCACGGAAGACACATCAGCTGAAGATGATGCTATACTAGATATCGATATTACAGCATACAAACCTAAAGTGATCAACCGAGAATGGTGGATCTCGGAGACTGACCTTGGTTGGATATCGATCGGCTGCTACATCATGGGAACAGGAGGCGGTGGCTCGCCATACGCAACTATGCTACGAGTACGAGGGATACTCCGTTCTGGTGGAACTGCGCGAGTGGTCAGCCCGGATGATCTGAAAGATGACGATCTAGTGGGATCGGGTGGCGGTGCGGGAAGCCCTACGGTAGGCATCGAGAAGCTATCTGCTGACGAGTAAGCAATTCCTTTCTTTCGCCTGTGCATATGCTAACTACTATGGAAGAATGATGGACGCACAAACGCATCTCTACAAGCTCTTCGAAGGCGGTCGCGCCACGCATATCATCCCTCTTGAGATAGGGGGTTCAAATGGGTTGCAAGGCCTCGTCTTGGGCGCATCAACCAACATGAACGTACCCTGCGTAGATGCAGACTGGATGGGTCGCGCATATCCCACTAAGTGGCAAACTACACCAGTCGTCTTTGGAGAGCGCGAGATCGTCTTTGCACCCGTCTGCATAGCTGACGGTAACGGGAATGTGCTGTACATGCCCACGGCATCAAGCGATTTGAAGGTTGAGCAAGTTCTCAGAGCAGCCTTGAGTCAGATGGGAAGTGCTGTTGGCACCGCCGATGCGCCTGTCACAGGTGCTGAGACAAGACGCTGGGCAGTCGAACACACAATCTCTTTATCGTGGCGTATTGGTAGAGAAGTCGCACGAGCGAGAAAAGAAAACAGAATTGACACTGTGGGCGAGTCCATCATCAACGCGGTGGGCGGCAAGGAAACAGGCCGTGTTCTGTTCAAAGGCAAGATTGTGGGCGTCGAGCGCAAGCTCTATATGGGCCACGTGTATGGCGAAGTCATTGTTGAGGGCATAGGTGCTGAGTTCTCAGGGAAGATCAAGATTCCCTTCAAGAATGAGAACATTGCGGTGATACGGATACCGGACGGCGAGGAGAGCAAAACTGGGGAAGAAAAAAATGAGGACGTGTTAGCTATTGTACCAGATCTGGTTTCGGTTATCGATGCACAGAATGGAGAGGCGATCGGTACTCCTGAATATCGATATGGTTTGCTGGTATCGGTCATTGGTATCACCGCTAGCGAGCGGTGGACAAGTCCAAGGGGCATCGAGATAGGAGGACCAAAGTCCTTCGGATTGAACCATCTGGAATACAGACCGCTGGGTAAGTTTGTAAAGCCAGTTAGTGTCATCGATGAGTATGATGGTGTGGTATGAAGAATACAGGCGATTAGCAGTCGAAAATAGATATCTGAGAACCAGGCAATGAAGACTTTGGAGTGCAAAATCCAGTCTACGCGACCTCAGAGTCTGAAGCGTGTTTGCTCCCAGAGTACAGTGGCGAGATGATCTTGACCGCTGCCTCATAGCTCGTAAAAAGAATTCCGCCGCTGAACACAGTGCGTCCTAGACGCATAGTTGTGCCCTTCCAGAACCCTTTGACACCGTAATCGAGAAGAACGCTCTTTATAGCTTCAATGGTACTCGTTCCTTTCGCACTTTGGGATCTTGTTTTGATAACCTGGAATGATGTTGGTATACGTCTCAAAGGAGTTTCACACTTGAAAGTTTCATACATCAAAAGGCTGGGTGGCAAGCGTCGTGATAACACCTGCCACAGACCCATTGGCAAAGTTAATGGCGGTATTCTGTTCGATGTTTCTTGTCTTTTCGAAGTCTTTGAGGATATTGTAGGTACCCATTCGGAAAGCTGTGGCTGATGCTTGTTTAAGAGTGGTTCCTGCGTACCCTCGGTACAGGCCAAGGATTCCATGCTCTTGCCAGATAACCCTGGTCGCGTGCAGTCCTGAACGGAATCTCTTCTCGTTTCGTGCGTCGTCGATGAGGGCTGTCTTAATTCGCTCGGTTGGAGTGACTGCCGTAGTAGATGCTATAACACCAGCGGTCATGCCAGCCAGCAGGTTGCGTAAAGGCGATAGAGTACCAGTTTCAGGGTCTGCGAAAGACTCTTTGATTTGGTCGAAAAAGAGAAAGCGCACGCCGTCTTTAGCTATTGAGCCCTATCCGTAGGTTAGCGTGTTTTTTTGGTTGCATTTAGAATAGAGGACGAAACGAATGGCATGGGAATTGCACACGAAGAGATGAAAAGAGGACACCTACCACAACAAGAGCACCACATCCCTTGTACATAGCCCTGATACCTTCATTCTGGTATACCTGCGTCACGACAAGGAAAGGATTCCGTGGAGTTGGCACGCCTTTCTCAGCTCTCAATTGGACTCGAGTCTTAGCGAATTCCAAGGGATACTGTTCGAGATATCAGGTACACAATAACTTCCCGTTGTTGTTTTCTAGTTTTGATCGTAGGTCATACCGACAGGAACCCTTCAATGCCCCCTGCGATCCCACCCGCGACGAGGGAGACTACGGCGGGTGTATTTTTATCCTACAACCAATTAGCGCGCTACAATGGTGACAGAATTGTACGTACATTGGTTCCGGACACCATATTTATTAATAATATATAGATACGGTCTAAAAGAATATAGCAATAGTACAAAATGTTGTTCCTGGTATGTACATCACGAAATCACGAATCGCATAAGCGTGTGCAGCCGATATCTAGCCGAATCAATGGCAAATCAATTTCGGATCAGCACGTGATGACGCGTTTTGTGAGCCTTGCCTCACATTTCCACGAACACGTCTATGTACTGCTATCTCAGGAGCGCAGCAGTTTAGATTTTACCTTAGCGATATTTGGATTTTCTTCATAGAGATACGTTTGTGACATGACTCTGGAAGATGACGTCACGTAGGCTCTCGGTCGACTGTAAAAGCCAGATGGTAAGCTTCATTCTTTGTGGCTCCTACAAGCTGCATAACTACACAATTAAAATTTGTTTGAGTACACGTAAGATGTATACTACTCAAAATCTAGGCACAAGAGTTCTTCACTAAACTTAGTTGTAGTTGTCAAGCTATTGCATGACTTCGCTACACCCTGGTTCCTGGTATTTCGATTGACCGAGAGGTAGGGTCTCGCGTTTCCTGTTCATCGCCTCGTTACCATGCTCTTTGCCATTGCTCAATGAACGCTCCATAAGCATGAAGAAGTGTCCCATATCATGCTCTTAAGCATCCACATCAACCCCCGCCAGACTCCCAAACCGATTATCTCTGGCCGCAGCATAAGCAGCCATCTTCTCATCGCCACTCTCAGAATCGTCCTCATATCCCTGCCCAACCTTCTGCAACTTCCCCATCTTCTTCAACACATCCTCCACATTCCAAGCAATTCTCTCCGCACCGATCCTCGCACCCACCAAATTGGAAGCTCCGGGTCCAAGCCTCAAGCCAGCTAGCCGCCCAGTCACGAAGAGTGGAATTTCGTCCTTCCACATCAAGTCGTCGTTCAAGCAGGGTAGGCCGCCTACGTACGGGATCGGATGCTGTTTCTGGATGGCTTGGAGGAAGGGAATGGTACGTATGTCGGATTGGATGCCCGTTGCGAAGACGATATGATCAATCGACGGGAAGGCGACATTGGGTGAGGATACGACGGACACCCATGTCTTCGAAAGCGAATCCCAACGCAAAGATTGGAGGGTTGTATGGGTATGGAGGGAGATCCTGCTGCTTGCTACGTGAGCATCGAGGATCTTGCGGTAGCGCGGTGTCATGCTCCCTCCGTTGCGAGCTTTTGCGATCATCTCCCATCGCTCTGTGGTTGATTAGTAAGGAACAGTACAAAGCAGTAGCATGCAAGCTTACCTTCATCTGTGTCTGCGCTCCAGAATGCCGCTTGGTTGAAGTTTCTGAACTTCCCCACCCAGTCCAGATCGACGTCGAAATATTTGACTTTCAATGGACCGCGCATCAGCAGCCAAACTCTGCTCACACCACGCTTGAGGGCCAAGTCTGCAAGCTGAATGCTGGTCAGGCCGCCACCTACAATGAGCATGTTTGTCGAACGGCGTTCCTTGATCTTTGCTGCTACATGAGGTGGTGGAAACTGTTTTATTTGCATTGCGTGGACATAGCCTTCGTGCGGACATTGCGTTGACAGACCAAGGATGGCAGGTATGGAAGGCGCGTTCCCGGGACCAACAGCGAGTATGACAACATTTGCAAAGCGAACCCCTTGTGTAGTCGTCACGCGAAAGATCTTCCTGTCATCTTCTGAGATATCATCCGAGACGACGCTGTCGTGCTCTGCATCTGCAAATGCACTAACCTTGTCGTACTCAATATCGACAACGCGTTCCTGCCTGAGTATGTCATTTTCCAATCGATACCGTTTGATAACTTCTTGGCAATGCGCGGTGAACAAGTCGGTACTGGGTACAAAGTAGTCTTTTCGGTCTCTCTCATCGACGTCAGGTGTCCGGCCCAGGAATCTCCCCTTTCCTTGCATATTCAATTTCTTCTTCTTGCGATGTTTGCTGATCTCCTTGCCTGCACATCCCGGAAGAGCTTGAAGTTCCTTCTCTCTGTTTTTCTCATACGCATATCCAAGCAGCGCATCTCGGTCCGCAGGATCAATCTGGAAGAACATTGGACTGCGCAAGTAGTCTATGCCAAAGGTTTTGAACAGACGGTTCCACTTCGTCATCCAATCCGCGCCATCAGCATCAACGATAATCATGTCTATCATTTCGTCCGTGTGAGGTGTATCGTGGTCGCAACCGCAGTCAGAGTTGCCAGGAGTCGAGGGAGGCGTAGGCAAAGAATTCGTATTCTTTCGATAGTTCTTGATGTTCATTTTCCGCCCATGCTTCCGAATCCAGTGATACCGCTGGTGTTCGTCATCCGTAAACGTGGCAGAGGGCGTGCCCTCACGAAGGCGAGCTGCAACTGCGAGTCCAGCAGGACCGGCACCGATGATGAGGACGTCGTGAATGTGCATGTCAGGCGAGTAACGGCGTATTACTTTGAGGTTTTCTGCTAAAATCAACGGGTAGAGCAATTGACCTCTGTAAAATGGCATCGGAGGTGGTATATGCACCCTGATGGTCTGCACCTCGAGTAGCCATCATGGTACTCGTGTACGATGTTAGAGGTATACCGTGATGTCCTGGAGACCTATTTTCTGAACGAATCAAGTAAAGCCTTGCCGTTGCCGTTGCAAATGTCGAATACCCCGTTGCCATTGATCAGTTCTTAGAAGAGGCATGCACACTTGGCTAAGGACACTAGTCCAACTAAATCTGCGGTAGTAAGTTTGGAATAATGAACGTTCCCTACGTGCTCGTGAGACGTTCATCGTATTGACTGTAAGTTTGTGAGCTTGCCCAAAATGATATCAGTAGCAGCAGTAGCCCCCGTAATGGAATGATGACTTCGAAGGAGACAAATCTCGACAGTGCGTCATGATGCGGACCGAAGGTTTCCTAGTCATTAGCCGCAATCAAACAAAGACCATCTGCGAATCAATGAAGTCTAATATTGGGTATAATAGGCGCTCTCGGGAATTTCTGCGTGCCAAAAACTGGCTAGATAAAATCAAAACATCAGACCGCGTGGGAGAATGCAAAATCCTTGCTGCTGACATGACTACTCCGCCATGTGTTAGATGTCCCTGGACTGCCTATACTCGACATGTCTGCCGACTTCACGTCCTCCATCGCAATTGCGCTGGTGATGAAGTGTGCATTGTTTCCTGCGTTTTGAGTGTCGAATGAATGGTGTATCCTTTCCTGACTCTCTGGCCGTCTGCCGGCAATGTGTAAAGCCTTGGGCTTGAACATGATCTTACGGGTTGCCCAACTAAATCTCGCTGTCGTCTGTGTTTGTGATTGTGTTCCGTATGTGGCGCTTGAGTTGTGGCTCCAGTTCTTCAACTTAAAGATGCGTTGGATGAGTGGATACGTCAAGGGGAGGTTGGCGCAAAGCAGCGCGGTAAATGATTCTCGTAGATACCATACTGTCCATTCCGTTCCAAATGGATGGGTAAACGAGTAGTATTTGTTGAGGATGGCCGCCACAATCTGAACAGGGTTAGCAGTAAGCGAGCAACCGGTAGAATGACTTACTGTGAACGCGCCGATGAGGAAGATTACGAAGAGAACGATCTTGTTCTTCATTGGTAGACGAACCTTGAACAGGAGCGGCAATGGTATGCTGATGATGATCAAGTCGGAACTGATATTCAAAACCGCGTTGGTGATCAGATGGTTTGTCGCTGCAGAACACTGAACTGATAGAATGTCAGTCTTGTCTTGTAACAATCAGACAACCGGACTCACCAGAATACGTGGGAACCGCCCAATATTGGTTAAAAGGTCTGCACCAGACACCGAAGTAGAGAATCTCCATGACGACCTGCGTTCGTTAGATAAAGAACCAACTTAATGTAGTGGGCACGTACAAAGCCAAGGAAGACATATACAGCTGTGGCTTGTACGAAGATATGCTGAGGTAGAACAAGACTGCAACAAGGTCAGCCTCGAATTGGAGAGTGGAACTGATCATCTTACGTCATACGGTTGTACATGATGAGGAGACAGGCTTTGATGAGCCAAATTGTCGCAATTTGCATTTGCTCCACAACGAGAACCAACTTGGAGCCATATACGCGCGTCATAATGTCATTTTCAGACAACGTCGAGACATCCTCATCCGCGGGAATGAGATTGCTGCTGGTTTTGACAACTTCTTGCATGAGAAGAAGGAGGACGGTAGCAGTGACCTTGTCTATTAGTTAGCATGCGTTGAGTTCGCACAGTTCGGCTATCGTACCATGGCCATAACGATCAGGTAGTCATCCAGCTGTAGATGTTTCCATGCTCCGAGATGCATTCGCCTCGAGATGAGGCGAATTATGACCACAACCCAGCAGACTGCGTAGAAGATACCAGCCTCTGGCTCAAGGATCGACATGGCTGACATTGCGGTGTTGAGTACCACTACTGTAACAACCAACGAGCAAAAGAAAGACAAGACAAGACAAGCAATGGACGGATGTGACGAAATCCCAATCGTTCCGCCCTACGCTATTAAGGCGACTCGGCGCTGTGGAGAGGCAAGCCGCATATAGGGAATAGAGAGAGATTGGTACAGGAGGCTCCGAGGGGGAGGAACGCGAGCCGCATTACGCGATCAGCAACCTGTCACCTGTGATCGCGAGACGAATCAACCAATCTGCTTGACATCTCCTCTGAGCTAATGCGTGTAGTGATCTGACTCGAAGAGTGCGGGAAAAAGGTGCCAAGAATTCCCAGCGAGCGTAGCTACTGAGCGCTAGCGGAGAAGGATCGTCCTACGACCAAACCCAATGATATTGCAGACGCCTCTTTCACTTGTGAAGGATGTAGATTGCTCGCCACCCGGGATAGCTTCCAGAACGATTACAGAATGAGTTGACTTGTCAAGCATGAATCGAACGAATAGGAACGTTCCCATAAAATGAAAATTCAAAATGTGGCTTTTATTCCCAGGGGTCACCGGTAGGTATGGCGTCTATTGATTGCAAGGTTCAGTAGCCGCGGACCTGTCTTTGGTCCTCCAGCTCGCTCTGACAGCCATGACACCATGACACCATAGGAGCTTGGTGGACTCGGAATCCGAGGCGATCACAGGCTAGCTGTGGAGGTGGAATCCGCTCCGCGCCCTAAAAGTCGTCATGTCCTATCAATGGATCGCAGCTTTTTTCCGAAATTGCTTACGCAAGAGCACGGAAATATGCTGAAAGCCTGACTGCGGCGCAGCATGAACCCGGAGTCATCCGAACAACGTGTGGCAAGGTGTGACTTCAAACGGTTCCTGACATACACGAACACACTCTGGGTGCCGCGGTAGTCTCCAACGATGGTACGTCACCAAAACCAGTGTCTTCTTCGAATATCCTGTCATCAGGTCCATTTTGCGTGCTGTGGTAGTAGAGGTAAGTTTGTATATCTATGACGAAAACATACCCGTTTACCATCACTTTCAGAACCTTATTCTATTCTTTACATCTTTAACTTCAACGACTCGTTGGTGATAACAATTGCTTTTTCCAATCTCGCAGGGATGAGCGATATCAAATACCTACCACCCTTGTCCTATATACCGAACGATCCGAAACAATGCAGAACATCAACAGATCCAGATCGTGATCGACACCTTGGAGCTGAAAAGGGTGTTGTGCAACGCAGATCATCACATCGTACCTGTTCACAAACCCCATGCGCGACAATGGTGCAAGAACCCGTGCAAGCCCGACGCAGCGTTGGGGAAAGCATGACAATGGTGCAGTCCGCGGACGAACGGCAAAAGAAGCACGAGCAGTCAGAGACGCCACAGATAAACTCGCGTCGTCTCTCGAACGTTGACCTGCGCTATGGTAACAGGCACGGGCAAGTAGCGTACTGTGGGGTTTTTGGCAATTGGAGCTGAAACCCCAGCCCAACTACACACTAATTGCTAGCAGCAGCGTGTACCTACATGAGCCAAGTCATAAGCACAAGAACACGTTCCCAGCAACATCGTGTATGCCTGGAAATGCATAACGACACTAGCCCACTCTGACCGATCAGACTTCCTCACCCTCCTCTCGAGTGCGCTCAGAACCGGCAGCAATTGTGGCCGACATACAATCGCAAAAACGCCCCCCGATACACAACGATAACCTACCAGTGACACGTTCGCCCCGTTATCGTACGACTCACGTTCACATGCGACCAACAAGACCTCGAGCAAAACATACGCAACCAGGTTCCTCGGCTGCAACTGCAGCAGTCCCCAAAGCGTTAGCACCACACTGCGATAAATCGCTCCGGATATCTCACCGTGAAACGCGTCCAATCGACGGGTAGATATGGAAGCGGGAAGGAGCGAGTGGGGCACCACGAGTCGTGCAGAGGGATTGGTAGACACAATCTCTTGCTTGATTCGAGATATTGCTGTACCTGTCTACACTAGCTAAAGCTAGATAGAGCTCGAGCAACGCTCTTACGTTATGGTGTTGTCCCCAGCCGTTTCCCCCAACTTGCCCCATCCCATTCACACACTATGAATGAAACAGCTACGCACTAACATGGACCCTGTTAGAGAGAGAGAAAGAGCTGGCTTCAAAAATGCTTCCAGGGTCGTAGGTGGCGGTTGTAGTCGAAACAACCACCACCACCGTACCAATCTTATTGTCCTCCGGTGTACGATATCCTCTCGGATGTCGGCAACCTGCTGATGTTGTGGCAGAGGGCAAGTCCACGGGCGGCCTAAGACAGGTCGCCGATGTTTAGCTCCACCATATAGTTCCACTTATGCGTTCCACTAGAGGTGATGGTCGGAATTGGCAGTTGTTTGCTTACCCCCGGGTTTTCCGAATAAACGAGGGTCCTTCGCTTTGCCAAGATGTCTGTTGCGATGCCATCGTCTGAAGGGGGAGCATGGGAGGGTGGAGTGCAGCATACACCCAACAAAACAGGGTCACCGACGCCTCAAAAAGCCAGGTAGCGATGCGGTGTGCAATAAGAGCATAAGCAATCTATACCGCATCCCTGTATGACCTCAAACATGGGAAAATAGCAATAGATCCCGCCTACAAGTCTATCTATAGGGAGTGTACCCGGTTCCCTTCCGCGATCCACATCCCTCCCTAAAATCTCTCCAGTAGCCCAACATCCCATCCCTGAAATTCCCTCGCCCCCACAGGCAACACATCCCTACTCTCCCCCAACACGCGCTCCACCTCCCCAAACAAGCTCCCGGGAAACTCCACATCCTCTACGCTCGCGCTTTCTACTTCTCCTGGCCTGATCGGCCGCCATGTCTGCCGCTTGTAAAAGACCTTCATCGCGCGCGTGGGATCGCTGCGATGCGGCGATGCTACTGACGACGAGAAAAGCAGGTCTGGTGTGAAGACCCAGAGGAGAAGGGAGGGTGTCGAGGGGTCAGGTTTGGCACTGGGGCTTGAGGAGAGTTTGTTCGGGGGAGGGTGGATGTGGAATTTGCGGACGCCTGAGTTCTCGATGAGGAAGAGAAGCCGTGCTGATATCCATTTCTGGGTGGTGTATGTAGTTGGGGGAGCTGATGGCGAGGGAGAGAGGCTGATACTCCACTTCCAGATTCGGTGGCCGGAGGAAGATTCATCTCGGGCACCGAGGGTGTGCTTGCAGTGCTTGCAGACTATGGAGTCTTCCTGCTGTTTGGAGGCTATCTAGATCAGAGTCAGCACGGGTTCTACAATTGTGTGTAGTGTGCTATGAGACGAGTATGTAGATGTAGCCTTGGCTTATCCTGCCAGTCCCAAGGGTCTGAGGGCATAAAGACAGTGAAACGCCAGGCTGCTCACTCAACAGTGCCGGTGATCCATCGACACGAGGAAGAGAATGCATCCAGCAACGAGAGCAGTCGCATAGTTAGTGCGACGAGACCGTCAATCTGGGGCGATTGTATCGGCGATAATGCCATGGGGAGAGGCTATATCGCCTTCTTTGCACCCCGGGATGCTCTTCAAGGAGCGAGAACGCGACAGACACGCAAGCAAGGGAAGCATATGTCTTACCTCGACACCCTCACAATCCCCCTCTTCCAACAACAAGCTGGTCAAATCCACAAACCCCATACCCTCTTTGGCCTTCAGTCGGTTCCCCGCCGCATACCCTTTCTTCCCCACCACCTCGTCGTTCTCGTGATCATGTAAGTGCCCCTCGTCTGGCTTGTGACAATGCCAAAAGTCCATCATCTCCGCCCAGTTCTCATTCGGCAAATCCCTCCACGACCCAACTTTTCCTCGCGGTACAACCACTTCCCCACAGCTCTTACACATAATCTCCACACCCTGCATCTGGCTCAGCGACGCGCCATCCCAGGGCACGATATTCGCTTTGCGCTCCTCAGACTGCAAGGTCCCAAGGAGGTCGCTGCCTTCGCGCTCCTCCAGTTGTAGCCGTAGAGTGAGTTCTTTGCTGGGCGGCTGCGCGGGGAGATGGAGCGCTGCATCACCTCCACCGCCGTCCTGAACCTTGATTGGGAGACGAATAGTCGCGGATTCGGACTCATGCGAGATCGTGATAGATGCGCCATCGGCAGACAGCTGAGCTTTAGTCTCATGCGTATGGTGAGTGCGCAACGAGGCGAAGAGCGTGACAGTCCGTATGTGGAGTAGCAGTTCAGCGTACAGTGCGATCGACGACTCATTGAGGGCTACAGGCCCGGCTGATTGTGTGTCATTCTGGAGCAGGTTCGGTGCTGCGATTGCGACGGGCGTGTCGGGGGGCTTGGGATTCATTAGGATTTTGACCGTGTCAGAAGGCAGACCGAGGGCGTTGTATGCTGACTCGGGCAGCATCGACATACTGGGTGGGCGAGTGCCATGATTGTTGAGGGCGTGGGCTTGGAGAGGGCGCGAACGTCAAGGTCGACGCGACGCTGCAGCGTGCCGAAGTTTTGCCCATTGCAAATATCTAACCCTTTTTGGAAGATCACCCGCCAGTCTTCAGAAGCTGACGTGAGATATGAGATTACAATATCTACAATACAGAGGTGTTACGTAGATGCTATGTAGATGCCACGAGGCCCCGACAACCCGATTTCAATTACTGCCCCTTCTTCTGCGCCTCCTTCTCATCCTGCTCCAAGATGTAACTCACACCCCGCTTGATGCCCTCGTGCAAACTCACGATCGGCGAATACCCCAAACGCCGCCTCGCTTTGTCGATGTTGTGGTACTTTTTCATCGTGCTGTACCTAACTTGGTCCCTCGTCAAGTTTGGCTTCTTGCCAACCACCCAGAAGGCCCATTCTAGGATCGTTCCAATCGTCCACGCAACCTCTTCATGTAGATGCCAGACCTTTGACAGCGGCAACCGATCCCCAGCCTCGTGCCACACCGCGCGCGCAAAGTCCCAGAAGTATGTGGGCTCGCCATTCGTGATGAAGAAGGCCTCGCCATCGACGCGCTCGGTGTCGAGGGGCGTGGTAGGCAGCATCTTGTGGGTCCGGAGCAAAGCGATGACAGCGAGGAGGTGTCCGTGGGCGACGTTCCCTACGTAGGTGAAGTCGAACATATTGGTGTTATCACCGACCTGGAACTTGGTCTGGCCTTTGCGGTAGGCACCAACTATGCGGGGGAGCAATTGGACATCGCCTTCGCCGAAGATGCCTGCGGGTCGGATGGCGCAGGTCAGGAAGGTCTCTGGTGTGCGATTTGCTTCGAGGACGTATGTTTCGGCATAGGCCTTGAACTGTCAGTATGTAATCCTACACAAGTGCTGATTTCTTCCTCACCTTGGTAGTAGTATAATACTCTGGCTGCGCCGCGCCAGTAACTAGCGGCCACCTCTCGTCCGCGTTATTGAGGTCGCCTGTGGCCGGAAGAATGACGCTTGCAGAGCTCGTGTACACGAATGCCTTGACTCCAGCATCTTGCGCCGCCTTCAGCAAGTTCTTGGTGCCTTGGACATTGACCTGGTCGTGGATCTCTGGCTTGAGCCATACGTGTGGGGAAGCAGTGTGGATGACCGCGTCTGGTCTGATGTGGGAGAAGATATTCTTCATAGCGGTGGCATCTGTGATGTCCCCGTCATGGTAGGATACGTTGGGGCTGGCATTGCGGTTGGACGTCGTTCGCAGGTCGAGAACCTCGACTTGCGTCTCAGGATGGCGCTTGACGATGAGACTCACAATGTGACTGCCCAGAAACCCGCAGCCACCTACAACGACGACTTTCCCCAGAGATGGTACAGGTTCAGAACGTGACATGATGTGTGATGGTGTATGTTGTGTTGTGCAATTGAGGTTGCAGGGGGTGCAGTGGATAGCTCAACGTTGTTGCGGAGCTCGGTGGAGCCTCCGCAATTTACCAGCTAGCTGTCTATGGAGACGAAGCCTGGGCAAACACCAACAGCGTCTTGCTGAAGCATTTTCACGGACGAAGACAAATCTTGCTCAGCCTGCTCAAAGTATAAAGTATCGAAACTATTCAGGCCCTAGGATACAGAGTGTCACTAATGTCAAAGCACTGTCATTTTGTTGAACGCCATACGGACTATGTCACGCCATGTCCATGCCTTCAACCTTCCAAAAACGCCGAATATGCAAGCCATAAGACCAGTCGAGTGATCAGGCATGAGGGTATCAAGTAACGTCGTCCCTACACATAACCGGTCGTGAAGTTCATGAGTTTGTCTGCACTAATACTTCTGCCACTAGAAGCAATTCCTGATGCACGTTAGCCTCTGATTCATGTGGAAGAAGAGCTTTGAACCGGAGCGATCGTAAAGAAAGCCAGACTAAAGCGTGGCTCACTCACTCGGCACTATCCTGTACTGACCGCCGCAGGCGGCGATTGTACATCTTCTTCTCGTCCGCCGTACCCCAGAAGAGTTTGGCAGCCTCAGGATTGACGAGCGTTCTGGGGTCGTACGCAGGAGCTTCTTCTTCGATAGCGGCAATGATGGCATCGATGTGGGATCTCATATCGTCCTTGCGAGTCGCGTCGTAACATAGGATGCCGTCAGGTGACACGCGGTGGTGGAAGATTGGTGTACTGAACTTGACACGCGGCAGGACGTCCGGGAACTTTGGGCTGATGTAGAGCATGATTCTAAACATGCCACCATCCAGGTTTGTCATGGGCCTGCCAAACAAGACCAGCTCCCAGACAAAAGGATTCTTGTCGACAATGCTTAGATCGAGAGTGACAGCATCGTTCTTCTTGTAGTTTTCGACAATCTGCTCGAACTGACGCTGCATGTTGCTAGCAATGCTTAACTCCTTCTGCACAGCCAAAACACCTTCCTCAGCCCATCCAACAACCTCTTGATTCAACCTGTCGAAGATCTTCACAAGTCGTTGCCTGAGATTTGCGTACTGAAAGGTGCCCTCCATCTGATTGCCGGGACCCTCGAATGGCATCTTCTCAAATGCGGTTCCATCCTTGCTCTTTGCGGCTGCCTCGTCCACGCGAGCTAGATAAGAAGGGTAGTACCACAAGAAGCGCCGCTTGCAGAGGTCCTTGAAGGGTTCGAAAGGCGCGTCATCTCTGCTCGACTGGTAGTCCTCCTCAGCGTTGTAGACTGTCACGCCGGGCCTCTCCCGGTCGATGCCTAGATAACCTTCGAGCCTTTCAACGACGGATATGCGCAGCGATTCGTGTCGGATCTTGGCAACATAGTGTTGCTGGTTCTTCTTGTCGTATTCGGAGTTTGCATCCTCAAAGCCAGGCTCGTTCTCGTAGGGGTTCGTGGACATGAGGCTCTGGATGGAGATAAGGATTGACTCTAGACCCTGCGCAGAAGACCACTCTTCACCGCGCTCACCCCGCCATGTGCTAGCATTCGTTAGACAGGCTCTCGTACCTTAAGCCGACGGCACCTACCCAAGAATCGACAGGCACACCTTGCCTCCGGCGTATATGTTGGGGTTGAAGCGCGTCCGTCCCCCATTGGTGGTTATGGCAGTCACGCCAGGCGCCTTGGTGGGGTACTCTTTGGTGAACTTGACGCTGAATTCGTAGAAGCCAAACTCGTACGGCGTGTCGGGCGGGCCAATAATCAGAGCCCTGACGTAGCGCACGTCGATATCGCGACATGCGACTGCGAGGGAGAGGTCGGAGCCGCGCTGGATCTCGCTCAGTTCGCGGGTGATTCTGAGAATGGACTGGTTCGACATGGTGGGCTGAGGGCCTGCAGCCTGCGTGATCTGGTGGGAGATCGACTGCCCCGCGCAGACACGAGAAGTAGGTTGGGGTTCGACAGGGCGGAGAAAGTTTTTGGAGTGGAAGAAGGAAAGAAAGCGAGAGGGGTAAGAGCAGGCCAAGGCGGCCAGTCGTGCTGAAGAAAGGTGACGGTTTGGTGGGACGGTTAGCAATTGGAAGCTCAACGGCTGCACCATGTCATATCACGCTCGGACCGCAAACACCACCACCTGTTTGTGTAGTCAAGTAGCCTTTAGCAAGTGCTTCACACTGACGTCGCATTGCACAGCTAGACGATTATAGTAGAGCTAGCCAGGATCTGAACAGTCGCGCACAGTAAACCCCCGAGAACACTCAAGTTCAAAGCTCCAAGTCCCCATCGTTCACCATGTAAGTACTACAACAGACATCTGCAGGCCTACACGCATGGTTCACTAACCTCACACAGGGTCGTCTTCGCGCTCTTCATAATCAGCAAATCTGGCGGCCTCATCTACAACCGCGAATTCCACTCGGGCATGAGCAAGCTCACCAGCAACGACTACCTCATGCTCGCTGGCTCCTTTCACGGGTGCGCTCCTCCATAGCCCTCCCCTCACACACAGCCTAATACTCCCTAGGATGCACGCCATAACCAAGCAACTCAACCCCTCGCCCATCCCGCCCTCTACACAACCCGCCTCCAGCGCGCCTTCTCCCTTCATCAACCGCGCAACCGGCATCGAAGTCCTCGAGAGCAGCCACTTCCGCGTCCAGTGCTTCCAAACGCAAACCGGCATAAAGTTCCTGCTCTTCACCGAGCCGCAGCAGCCAAACGTCGACTCGACGATCAAAAAGATATACGAACTGTACGCCGACTATGTGATGAAGAATCCGTTTTACACCGTCGAGATGCCTGTTCGGTGTGAGAAGTTTGACCGCGCGCTGGATGGGTTTGTCAAGGTCAGGGGGTGAGGAGTAGATGATTTGACCAGATGTTGACTATGATTTGGATGAGGGGAACATGAAGCTCTTCGCGAGTTGTGTGGATTGGTGGCTATCGCTCACAGAGCGGTTTGAGGGTCCCCGTGCAGAGAGAAGAGAGACGCAAGCGAACAGGACAAGCTGGCCCAGTTTACGTGGGAAAAGTTGGTCGAACAGCATATGCTTCAGGGAGCAGCAAAGATTGTGGTCCAGTACAGGGTTCGTTGAGGATGGTGACGAATGTTATGTGGAAGTATGACTACAATAAGGTTGTTGATCGGGAAGAAGAAGGGTGGGTCACGTTCACAAATATTGTCGAGAGAGAGAGGACTCCTACGTCGTAGGAACAAATCATAGAACTCATCAGGTTGGTTCATTCAATCGTGTCAGATTTGTGGTATGCGCCACGCTTGGTGATACAGTAGTCGCCGGAGATGCTCTATCGTATAGCCTTGCCTTTAACACCCACACTCAAGACGCCGTGCCCTTGCCATATCCAAGCTTATGCAGTGTCCATCTTGTCTGAGTCGTCGTCCTTCTTGCCCTTGCTGCCACTTCCACTGGGTTGGCCCTTGTCATCCAGCAGAGGCTGCTTCTCATCCCCTTCTGCCACTGACTCCAACTCCGTCTTGCCATCGGCGGTGTCCTTCGTCTTCTTCTCTTTCTCTTGCCGTGCCTTCTCCTCCTCGAAACTCATCCTCAGCGCGAGTGCCAGTTCGGGGTCTACTGACGGGTCCACACCAAACTCGAAGTCGTTACCACCTGAGCCGCCACCCTCGCCTCCGGAACCACTAGCTCCCCCAGCGCCAGAGGTACCATCACCGCCAAGTATGGGAGTCGTAATAAGCGCATCGCTGAGAAGGTTCGCGCTGGGAGGTACGGTCGCGAGGTAGGATCCTTCTGCGCTCTGTACGTTGTCGCTGAAGGCCTGGAGCTTCCTTGTGGTGTCGTCGCTAAGCTCGCCGAACATGATGATGTCGATGCTGATACCTGTCTTCTTCATCTTCTTCGCCAGCTTTACCAGGTTCTTCTCCTCTTCTTCGATAGGGCTGCAGTTGAAGATGATTATCCGCTGCTTCTGCGACTTGTTCTGCCTGTGCTTGAGAGCCAGCTGGAAGAGCTCAGTCAGCTACGTCGAACCTACAGCTCCGATACAACTTACAGCTGCCACGTTGATGCCAGTCACGAAATGTGAGCTGCCCTTTATCTTTGTCCTGTGCAGGCCATCGAGGATCTTGCCAATGTCCGTTGTCAGGGTGGTGAGGATCTCTGGAGTGTTGCCTCCCATGCTCATGAGGCCGACCGAAGACTCTGGGTTTGCGCCAGTTTTCGCCGAGAAGATCAGGTTCGCAGCATCGGACTGAGCTTCCCATCGAGACGGTACGTAGTCGCCATTCCGACTGGCTTCGCTGTTGTCGACACTGCTAGAGTCAGTATGACATGGTGGGGCGGATGAAGAGCAACATACACGATCATAGAAGCTTCTAACACCATCTTGAAAGCAGATCACGGGTTTCGGTGGATGTGTTGGTTGACGTAGGTAATGTTGAGCAACGAGCTTGGTCGGACAGTTGCCGCACCGGTAAGCATGGGGCTAGCAAGCCGCAGCCGCAGCTTGGAGAGCACGTGTTCTCGTGTTTGGTTTCAGCCCCGCAACGGTGTTTGTGATGGATATTTCATCTCTAAAACTCTAATAACCGTCTCCAGAGCCCTTGAAGACCCTCGGTTTTGTTCTAATTGATGTGTGCACATCTCTATCTTGCCACATTGCAACGTTAGGTCACCCACCGTACCAAGAAAGAGCTCTTGCTGAAGCTTGGCGGAAGGCGCGTACTTGGGTTAACCCAACCTTCCGTTGCTTCCTTCTCTCATACACTCCACTCCAAATATCAGGAAGCCGCAACCACCATCACCACCACGCTCAGAAACTCTTTCAAGACATCTTCGAAGTTGCAGGCACGCCACTCTATCCTCCTTCCTGTTGCAATTGTCGCAACACGTCACTGCCTGCTTTGTTTACGCGTTGTTTGTCGCGTCACTTCCACACCACAATGGCCGCTCCTACCATGACGGCAGAGCAGCTTGCCGCTGTCAAGAGAGATATGCAGCTTGAGAGTAAGTTTTCTCCTTCCTGCTGATGTTGCAGAGTGCCTGCTAACGCGTTCTTCCGCAGTTGAGACGCGTATCGCGAAACTACAAGCCATCTGCGACGCACAGTGCGAGAGTCTTCAGGCGCGACTCAATCGCCGACTCAACCGCATCCCTGCTGCACAACGCCAATCTCCCCTCGGCGAGGTTCTATCAACGCACTTTAAGATAAATGTCGCACGCTCCCTCGATGCCGAAGCTGTGTATGGCAAAGCACCAGTGACGAAGCCCACACCAGCTCCCGCTCCTGCTCCGCCAACTCGCAAGACACGACCAGCTCCTGCCGCACCAGTTGTCAAAAAGGCAGTCAAGGCTACAGTCACAAAGCCTGCCTCAAAGCCTGTCACCAAACCCGCCACTACCAAGTCCGTTCGAGGCACAAAGCGCAGCAGTGACGATGCCACCAGCGACGACAAGGAGAACGCACAAGATCTCGCTGTCCCTAAGAAGCGGGTCCGTGCTGCTGTCCAGAAAGCACCAGTCCCCAGCAAGCCTGCGACTGCCCGAACTACCCGTGCCGCTTCCCGCCAGAAGCCTGCGGCCGGTCACGTCCTGTCGCCAAAGAATGGCAACACCAGCGCCCGCCAGAAGGCAGCCGCTCCTAGCAACGCCCGACCACGCTAGAGGTACTGATCGGATATTGATTACTTGGATTGTTGGCGCTGTATACCACTGGGTGGAGTTTTTGGGCGTTTTTTTGTATTTAGTATCCGCCAACCCAGGCCCTTCATCGCGGCTTGAGGGTATCCCAACGTGTTGTAGCCGCCCGCAAGGGCCGGCTCCCGTTGGGTGCCCAACACAGCCAGGTGAAGGGTAGGGTTGAGGAAGGGGTGTTTGCTTGGGGTTTTTTGGTTGGCGTTTGCTTAGACATGAATTGAACGACTTCACGATTGAATGAGTAGCTGTTTATTGACATGTGCAAAAGGTGTTGTAGTGACCCAGCCTTATCTTCACAACTTACATCTTAGCTGCAACAGATTGTGAAGTTGTCTAACACTCCCCAAGATTTATACATTCAACTATGTAAAACTCACTGTAGATGTCCAGGGTACGTCAATCCACTCAAAATCAACCGCGCAAAGCATACCGAAGACCTTCAGTCCCAGTTTACGACCGCCTCCTCGACGATAGGCCTGATAATCTTCCTGCCGGCGTCGGATTGATGCGTCCAAACCATTTGCCTAGCCGACAGCTCATTCGCGCGATGCCACGGAGTGAGCTTAATCCCCTCCTTGTTATTCTCCAGCGCGTGCTTGACAACCTCGAACAGGGCATCGGCCTGGTCCTGGTCGACCCTGACGTCGTCGCGCACAGTCAGAACGATCTCGCGGATCTTCTGCTTCTTGCCCTTCTTGTCACGCTTCTTGTACTTGTTCAGGCAGATGCTGATATCGACGCCGGCCTCTGCGGTCCACGCGGCGTGCACGGCAAACCAGTCAAAGAGCTCTGCGAAGTCCGTCTTCGTGATCTGGTCGTCCATGGAGTAGGGGACGGAGGCGAAGCCGAGGCTGACGGTAGGGGTGCGCGGCGAGGGCGTGTCGATTAGATCGCCCTTCCAGTCGCGGCGGAGGAGGTCGCGGAGCTCGAGTTCGTCGATGTCCTTTTGCGCCGTGGACAGCTGGTCGTCGAGGTCTTCCATTACATCATCGAGGTGCTTTTTCGCCCAGGCGCTGCGCTTCAGGACGCGCTTTGAAGTCAGGGTGTCGGTGGGTGTGGTTTTGTCGCTGGTCAGGCCGCCGGAGTCGATGGCGATGGCGCTGAGGATGAGCTCGAGGAGCTCGTGCGGCATGTGGTATTCTTGGTCGAGATTCTCGAGCTCATCGAGCATTTGGCGCGCGACAATGGTGGTGCAGCTGGCTGTTTTCTCAATGATACGGGGCTTTGCGTCTGGTGCGGTGTTCTCGTCCTTGTGGTGATCGAAGATGGACAGGATCTTTGCTTCTCTCCATTTGCGCAGTGGCACGCCGTGATCGACGAGTACAATGCCCTTGATCTTCTTGCTAAGTGTATCGGGATCCTCGGGAAGCTCGTCAATGGTGAGCAGATCTTCGTGTCCGGGAGTCATCTGCGAATTGGCAAGCGCAAGCTTGTTCTCTGGCCTCAGATCCAGCGCATGAGTTGGGGTCTGCAACAGTGCAATGGCCTTGATTGGGTGCGATGTGTTTGCAGTAGCATGCTTGAGATGGTACGCCCATGTCAAAGCCGCTGTCATGCTGTCCATGTCACCGCCCTCATTGCCCTGCACTAACGTCCATTCCGACACCTTCCCAGCTTGCCAATCGAGCAAGAATTCTTTCTTGGTTGCGCGGCTCCATTCGCTGAAGTGGCCGACGCCAACGTGTTTGTCGGGCTTTTTGTGAGACGCGCCTAGGATGGCCTGTACAGGCGCGCGTTGCGGCATTGCTGTTGCCAGGAGGCCTGGCAGAAGCATGAGAAAGGCCTTCATCGCGTAGGGTACGAAGACTGATGATAGGTAGGATGATAGAAATGCGTAAGAGGAGAAATGAAAACAAAAACAGTGCCAACTTAGATGCCAGCCCGTATGGAAGGCACGTCAGCCAAGAAATGTTTTCTAGATAAGGTTAGCACTGAGGTGCTTGAAACGCGCTGTTGGCAGCCATGGTCCTGTTGAAACTCACTCAGCGCATGAAGCAATAATATCTATCGTAGAGGTAATGTTTAGCTCCTTGGGGCGTCAACTTGTATCGCTAGGACACCTTGTGGGTTGCAAGGAAGCTCCAAGGCTGTGGAGCTCCAAGAGCTGGTCAGCATACTGGTCAGCTATGCCATTTCGTGATAGCAGTTCACCCAGATGAACTCAATCGCTGCACCATGTTGTTGACGTGACAGCACATGACGACTCCACCTTCATTCGAGGCGATCAAGTTAGTTCAAGTCGACGCCATGCAGGGAACAAGGCGGCATCCCCACACTTAGCACGATACCCATTTCTCCATTTCGTCAGGCGAAACAATGACATGGGCCACGCTGCGTCACTCGTCTCGACTCAGGCAACGCTAAATTGCATCTGGAATTTGCCTCCTCCTAATGCGACCACGGTCCATTTCCGGAGCGCTTCCCGTTGTTGTTGTTGAATTTTTGCAGATTGTGTGTTGCGCTGTGGACATAACTCGTCCGACGGTATTACCCGGGTTCGAGCAAGCTTTCTAAGCGCATATGTCATAACGCCCAACCCTAATCTTTTCCCTAGAGTGCCAGTCTCCGCTACTCCCAGCTACACCTCCGCGAGTGGAGCAGAAGAGCAATGGAGAACCGACAAGACGCGCTGCAGAGGTCGTCGACGGTCTCGACGACTACCACTACCCAAGGCCCACACACGGTAACGAACACAAGCTCTACATCGGGTGGCCAAGGAGCACTAGTGACGACGAATGGGCCGCATTCAACGACCGTCACACATCCCACAGTCACCACGACCGTCCAGACGCCCGGCCGCCCCTTATCAGCAGGCTCGATCGATTCCTCTGGGCGGCGCAGCCCATCGATCCGGATACGCTCACCACCAGCGCACCACCACACGCAACATACGCATCATGCGCATCCCGCACCAGCAACCGACGACGAATGGCAGGCCAACAGGAGAAGGAGCGTGTCAGCGCCGCAACCGCCGCCGCCAGCGCTCTTCCAGGACGACGAGGCCTTGCGACGACAGAAAACAGCCGACCAACTACGGCCTGTTCTCGAGGAAGGTGCGCGGACGGGCGACGTGAATCCAAATGGCCCTCCACCTGCGCGAGGACCAAGTGTCAAGAGACGGCCCCTTGCCCCAAGACAACTCACAGCACTTAACATGCGACGCAAAGACCACCACTCGAACCAACACAACATGGACGCCAGTATGGTAGACGTGCTCGATGTCATTGGTAGGTGCACGCATCTTCATATCCGACCACGCGCTGACTTGACCGTGTAGACCCCGAAATCTCTGCTCTCACAACTCTGAATAATGTCCAGAATTCATTGTTCCTCCCCAACATTCCATGGCTTTACAACCGCCAGCCCACCTATGATCTTGGCCAGTCCGCGTCCGACTCGTCCGACGAGGAAGCTGCTAACTCATCCGGCCGTCGCGAGCCGTTTATAGAAATGACTCAGCAAGAGGAGGCGGAACGAGCGGCTGCAGGCCTTTCCAGGACCAACACACTCGATTCCGTCTTATCTACCATGGAAGAAGGCGACGATCACCACTACGCCGTCTTGCCACATGGTGCCTCGCTACCAGGATGGACTCGTGCAGACAAGGCCGCGCTGGATGATCACGTACGCCATCTTTTACATTCTCGACGGGCAAGGTTCAAGCGGACTATGCGTGGCTTCGGACGTTACTGTCGCAACCCTCTGGGTCTCATCGTGACTCTCTACTTCTTTCTGATCACCTTCTGGGGAACTGCGTGGGTACTGTTTCTTATCGGCTGGATCTACGTTGCCGGTCGCCAAGCCTACTTCATTGAGATTGCTGACCAGGTCTTGACGGCGTTGTTCTGTGTCGTCGGTATAACCATGTTCCCATTCCGTTTGGTAGACACATACCACATGATCTATGTTGCTCACTTCGCGCACAAGACGTGGCGTGTACGGAGAGAACGGGGATTAGGCAAGTTGAAAAACCACAACGAACTTCCAGCCATGCCCCGAGCGCCAGGAGTGGACGCGACAGCAGCAGCAGAGGAGTTGGAGCGACAACTTGGTATCGAAGCCCCTGTGCTTACACCCGAGGAGCAGACCAAACTCGAGCATCACCAGGCGAAACTGGCTAAATCACACACTTTCTACAGGCCACACGAAACTTACACGCACAACGCATTTTCCATTAGACTTCTCATCGCTATTGTTGTTCTTCTCGACTGCCATTCCATGTTCCAGTGTGCGCTTGGTGGAACAACGTGGGGCATTTACTACAAACGTCGACCCAAGGCACTTACAGCTATCATTCTTAGCTTTAGTTTGTCCTGCAACATCACTGCTGGTATACTCATCGGCAGGGGAGACAGAAGGAGTCGCAAGAAGCTTGTCGTCGAGCAGCTCATGCGACAAGAAATGACCGAAGAGGCGCTGGAGGTGCTCAGGAAAGAAAGAGGTCTCAAGGCGAAGGGATTAAAATCTAGGAAGCAGAAGCAGAAGGCTGAAGAGGCGCTGGTTGGGAAACAAAAGAATCCCCTGGATACCATTTTGCATCGAGGGTAGATTGCTTTATTGAAGCATGCTTCGATCATGCTATAATACCATTAATATTTCTTGTGCGTTAGACTCTCATATCGTTCAAGCGCCTGCTTTTTTATGTAGTTCAGATATCCTCTGATTGTTTGCAAAGCCTTTAGATTCACTGTCGCTCCATTTGTCATTGTTGGTTTTGTCTGCTACTCTTTCCTTTTCTGTTTTATGTTGCATAAATTTTCATTTATACACATAGGTATTACAATCCTATACAACCTGCGCTCCTCTTTAGTCATCAATCATACACATCATCCTTCGCCCCATCGATTCCAATGCACGTCGTCGTGAGAAGAGACATATCGTGTACATGCACCTGCTTTCTACCGCCAGTTGCCGTCTCATATCCATCCATTCCACTTCCTACAACCTAATCCCAACCTACGAGCCCAAAAGCATCTCTCCACCGCCACAGTAGTGCAATTATATAAAATCTAAGTAGTTCATCATCACGAAATGACACCCGCAGTGCCCCTCGTGAAACCGCCAGCGATTCGCAACAACACTGGCCCACCACTCCGCACAAAAAGAGTTCGGCTCATGTAGTACGGAATGACACGATGACATACACCCACACTCAGCATGTACCGATGCTAAAAACAATCTACCTAACATAAAATCTGCAACCGTCGAGTCAAGCATGCTACAATCTCCCCACCCACCCACAGAGAAGTACAGTCCACTCGCCATCCAGTCCATGACTAGCACGTCACAGCATGGCGATGCGCAAAAAGCGTTACACTACACCGACGCCCGACGTTTTCCCAATCCACCACCAGCTCCTACAGATATCGTCCGAGACAGACCCACCCGCTAGTTATACCTACCAGTAGGAGACCCGTCTTCCCTCACAGCATAGAGCGTAGATATGGGTCGACAGCAACGTGACAAACCCCCCCAGGGATCACCACAATACCACGACCACCACCCGCATGCCGCATCCGCTCTCTCTCCACAAGTCGCGGGCTGATCCCGCTCACGCACCGCCAAACCACGCCATCGTACGATACCGAAAAGACCCCTTGCCCCCCTCCTCCCCCTTCTCCAACGCATGCTCGCCCGCTCGCTCCTTCTACCTAATCCGAACGCGCGGTCACCCCGTAACTTCCTTCGCACGCACGCAAGCAACCGAGCCGAGCGATCGACAGCAGATCAGATCAGCAACGCGACATCTCACGCGCGCGAGCCCGAGCCCGAGCGACAATGTCTCGGTAGGTAGCGTGGCGCACACGATTGTGCTCTGCCGATCCCCTCCCAAATACGAAGCACAAGGTTCGAAAAAAGCAATAACGGCATGTCTACAGCGGTGGGGAACATCAGAAAGTTAGCTTGTTGTAGATCTTGGAAATGACACAGGGAGCAGCGGGATGCGGCGGATATAGTGCCACTTTCATTGACAGAGTTTGACACGTTGTGCAAGACCATGCATGGGAAACGTGGGCTTTTGAATCGTTGCTTTTTTCCGTCTTTTGGGCCCGGGTAAGGGGGTATGAATACAAACGTGCGTGCGTACATACATACAAACATACACGAGTTGGCTACATACAATATGGGCAACCATGGCCCAGTAAGTCCCAGAATAGTTAGAAAACATTCAGATATGCTACGTCGACATGTGTTTAATGAATAACATACTTCTACTGCTGAAGTAAAGATCATCAGGTAGGTGCCTCGGCCAAGAACAAAATCATGCATATTGCCTAGGATACATGTGCAACCATTCTCTTTCTGGAAACTTTGAACTCGAAAATACCTCTCGAACACCTTGACAATAGTGCAATCCGTCCCATGGTGAGCCGCTAAGCTATTTTGAAATAATGAAAAAATTCGAGAAGCATGCGAGAGATGAGAGGCGTATCGACGAGCGCTTCGTAATAGGTTCATATACTGAAGATCGGCCATGAAAACAAAGATGAAAAAATTGAGTGCCGTAGCGCTGGGAACAACCAGTTAGTAAGGGGCTCATGTCGACGCGAGGACGGTTGAACTGAGTAGGCAGGCATGGTGCGAGCTCATTTCTGCCTCGAAAAGCAACCATCCCTTCGACATTGCCGATTTCCACCATCTCCTTAAATGACAAAGAAAAATGGCCGCGCAAGAAAACATGAGCAGGTGCAACGGCGGCAAAGATGTATTAGCGCCACCAATCGATTTTGAGGTCGAGGTTGTGTGCGACAACACCGGTGAAGGGTGACATGTTCGAAGTGGTACTGTACAAGGGAAACAGATAAAGCGCCATCGCGAATTAATGATGCAGCAATCCTGTCGTTCAACGATGTGGATGTTCGAAGGATCGGACTCCACCATACTCAACGCCTTGCATTGCCGTAGACGCAGGAGCACCCCAATGAGGGGGAGGATGTGATTGTTGTTGCTGTGATTGTGCGTGTTGTTGTTGCTGTAGGGGAGGGAGCACGTTGCTAGCAGATCCAGGTGTGCTGGCATGTTGTTGTGCAAGCACGCCCGTCATGCTTCCATACACATGCGAATTGCCAGGATCAGAACGACGGAGAGCGGTCCAAACAGACGCCAACTCGTTACGCAACCGTTCGTTCTCCTCCTGAGCCCGTCGACAGTATTCAGCTTCTGGCCGTAGCCGAGTAATTTCAGCACGGGCAAGGTCGTGTGATCTGCTAAGATTTTTGATGTAATCAATGGCTGATAAGTTGTCAGCACTACGAAAAACTTGAAAGAAAAGGAGAACGTACACTGTGTGAGGATCTCCCATTTGCTGGATTTACTTCCAGGTGAGTTTGGCAGAATGTTATTCAGGTCATCAAACAAATTCTTCATCTCGCTTCTCCGCTTTCTCTCGGCCATTTTGTGGCTAACGCGAAGCTCCGGAGTACGACTGTAGTTCCCTCCAGGAGAAGTGGCGTCTGCGAGAGCGGCATTTTGTAAACTCGTGATGCTGCGAGGCTGCATTGAGTGATGATGTGTTGTAGGTATGTCTAGACATAGTCAGCACACTGACCAATGAGGTAGAAACAGGAGCGCGTGCCATCTAATCGTTTTTGACTAGGATGAGTTGAGTCTATAGTGAAGATGCTGCTGTTGATGGATGCAGCAAAACTATTCTGGCGTGATGGGACAGTTGACTGTTCCACGCTTGACTCACCACTACTCGATGCCCTCCTATCCTCGGGTTCGAATTCAGCTGGGAACGCCCAGGGAAAACCTTTCGTTGGAGCAGCAGCCATTGGATCTGGCATACCCGATACGCTTCGGGGATTTGGGTTGATGATGGGGGCTCTTCGAGGGGGAGGGACCGCACGTGACCCATTTCGGCCCATAGGCGATAACGGAGAGGCGATGCTGAGGCGTGGATCAGGGTTCGTGATTCCTCGCTGCTGTTGGAGATTGGAGACGAGCGAGGATCGAGACGCATTTTGGCTATCATACGGCGAACACGGGCTGATGGCAAGGTGGTTCATTCCTACATTCATACGACTGTCCACACTGCTACGTCGAGAGTCGAAATGTGAGCCCACGTCCAAGCTGTGCCTATGGTCAAACCCTGGATTGAGCGGGGGAAGAGCGGTTTGCTGATTTCGTGTTAGAACGCCTCAGGCGATACGAAAGAAAGCCATACCTGATGCAAACCGGATGAATATCTGGACGAAGACGGCGTGTCAACAACTGAGCTACGCGAGGGCGAGTCTTCGGTGTTGAGGATCGTCTGTAGCTGCAGGCCCATGGTGCTGTTGGAGACTGTAGATGAGTCTGAGGGAGGCGTTAAAATGATTGTACTCTCATTGGCATAGAAGGGACATTTGACATGGGACTCACGCTTGCTGGGGCCTTGAGAAATGGACCAATTACCAGAGTCGCGAGCTTCCCGAGCTTCTGATTGTGGCCTGTGACGAACTGGGCTCTGCTCAGTCGAAGGTAGGTTACTGGTCAGGGAGGCAATGGAAGGTAGAGCCTGGCTGTGTGAGGCGCTGACAGGCAGTGGTTGCCGTTGGCAAGAGGCCTGATCCATAATGGTAGATGGTGAGGAGCGACTTTGCCTGCAAGAGTAGAAATCAAAGGCTGGAGGCAGGCGACGCAAGGCTGGTCAGCGAAGGTAGTTGACCAATGAGACGACGGAAAGCTGTGGCTGACAACGTGCTCTAGGTTGGCCAATGTGCGCAGCAACCGAACGCAAGACAGGGAGTGAGGAATAGAAGAGAATGAATGAAGACCAGGACCGGGGTCGAAGAATGGCAGCGGCGTGGAGGAGAAAAAGGTTGAGGAGCGTTGCAGGTGGAAGATGTGCAGGTGTCGAGAGCGCACGGGTGTTTGGTTGCTCCTCCCCAAAGGGAACTCAGGTCGCAAGGCGGGGCAGAAGGCCGAACCAAATCTCCAGTGCCAAGGACGGGAAGGTGCACTTGTCGACGCGCGTAGAATTTCGACAGGTACGGTGTCGAAGTCGAGGTACTTTCTATCGCACGCGCGCCGGACGATGACGATGTCGAGTGCTCTTCTTTGAGCGGACGGCAACAACACTAGCCCACGCAGCACACACGCCCACTGCGAACCTACCGTACCGTACGAGGTCGCAGCCGAGCTAGACGTGGCTGCAGTGCGCTCCTCGGGACAATGGCAAAGCTAGTCCTGGTGGTACCAAACTTCAGATGGCGGGATCTGAGCCTGACGCGACAGACAGCGTGCCGCAAGGCGCGTGCAACTCTTGGGCGGGCGAGTCGACGGGCTGCCGCTGGAGTAGAATCGGCGTGATCGAAAAATGGTCGAGCAACTGCTGGAAGACGTCTAGATGTCGTACGCAACGATGGGGGTCGAGTTGGGCTTCTCTCGGAGATTGGAGGCGGCAAAAGGAAGTCGGAATAGGCTCAACAGACGTCGAATTCCTTTACGAGTGGAGAGTGAGATCTTCCCGGCGCTGCAGAAAGAAAACACAGCAGGCACTTCTCCACGCGCGACGAGAACATACGATGTCCTAGAGGGGAGGGTGATGATAGGATACAGGACAGCAGGAGAGACCCTGTTGCAGCCAGCTGGATAAGGACAGACGTGCCTTGCATGGGCAGCTCCCAAGAGCGGAAAGAAAGCGCAATTGGCTTTACGGCGAAACGACAAAGCGGCAGGCGACCGGCCTGGACGTGCGTGCAACTCTCCCAGGATGGATTCGCGGCGGAGAAAGGCTAAAAGTCATGGACTTGATCCACAGGAGCAAGGGAGCGACCAACGGACAGGGATATTGGTGCCCCAGCCTCGAGCCGGCCGCACGTGGGAAATCGTTCAATCGAGACCTCGTGTATCTCACCAAGCGGCTTAGCGGCGGCTAGCGGCATTTGATACGGCCTCCCTGATCTCGCGTGAACTGGCGCGCTGCTAGGCTGGGCAGAAAACGAGGGGCGGTTGACTCGATACAGGTGAAAGAGCATGCGTGCGTGGCACAACGCCCGAGACGGGTGACGGATCGAAAAGGCACGAGCGAACATCAGAGGAGACTCTCTGGACTGCTTTCATTTCGATGAGCCTTAACTCATCACAATCGAGTCTGGAAATTGCTTAACCCCCACAAGAGTAAACTGGGGCTGCTTACGTGCGTATATGAGCCGGGCTTCCATCCGTCGCAAAACACGCTGCCACGAGGTCCAGTTCTCTCCGCCTCTTACAACCAACCGGGAGGGGCGCCGAGCAAAAGCAAAAATCGGCGATTGGCCGATCCCTCATGGCTGTCGACATCACCGCCACGCACGAGCAACATGATTCGAAAAGAGAAAAACAATATGGTGTCTCTTGAAATCAGCCGGGCGTGCACGCCGGCTACCAACCAGATGATCGATAGTACACCAGGTAGTCAACCAGAGTTCTACTGTTTCGGTAACTCAGGCCGAAAGATTCCCATTGTCAATGTCGACTTGGGTAGTGAATACCCCACGTTACTTACAGTCAACCCTGGATGGGTTTCACATGCTTTCCACGCTACCGTCTGCCCATGACAACGAAGCGCGATGGATTTTCTTCAACCACACCAAAATGCTGCGATGTACGTTGGAAGCTGCTCATAAGGCCCCCTGGACCTGACGTCACATGTCCCAATCAAATCCGCTCATTCCGTACCTACCGTATTGTGCTAGCTGACTCATAGGCTCTGCACCACATGTACCCCACCGGCAACTGGTCTGGAATGCGCGGTTCGGGAACACAAGCGCGTTCCCACGACTGTGCCATGGTTGCACGCGTCTTCGACTGTCCTTTGTTCCCTTTGTATGTCGTGGGGCATCTTGGCTGATTTTGCTGAAGGGTTACATTGAGTAGGCTGTTGCGATTTTGCGGGAGCCGTCCAGCAACAGGTCCGTCCTCGAGCCTGTGAATGCACGTTCTCAGAAGTCTACACTCGGACCGTGTTTAATTTCATGAAGCTGCACAGCACCGGCATAAGTTACCGTTTATACTGACAGCCAAATATGCTTATTAAGAGTGTTGTCGATGATATTCAGCAAGGGGGAAACTGCAAGGAGGTGGTTGAGGTGTGACAAGGCAAGACCTGGATTCCCATCGATTTCACCTCATATGGTTCCGGGGCTCTGTTCATGAATAGGACGGCCGAAGACTGATGTCCGTTGACATCTCGTAATCTATCCACGCACTTGACAATAGATCGTTGTTGCTACCAGCAAATCGATGCCCAGCCGATCCAACTAGGATGGTCGATCCACACATAGTATGAGACAGGAAGGGAGATGGACTCTCCGATCACACAAACACACAAACGGATGGTTGAAACTCTCAGGTACAACATTGGCATTGATGGCCGTTCTCGCATAAGACCTAGGCATTTGTATTGAATACTCTACCGGCAATCATCTACCGCATAGCATCTGGAACTTACGTCCGTTGGTTCCGCTCAGAGACGGCATTAACCCTTCTGCCGTATCAATATTACCATCGCCTCATCACTTGCTATACTCGACCTAGAAAGTGTAACTACATGCAAACCCAACAACCAGGTACTCGAGAGCAACGGCTTTGTGTTAGTGCAAATGCATGTCTTGTACTTGAGTACTCAGCTGAGCAACACAGGCGGCTGCACCATCTCCGGGACTCGCGATGGATACCAGAGACGATACTCTCCAGACGAAATGTCCCAAAACTTGCATACATCCACTGTTTTTGCGAACATAACAGCGGCTATTTTTTGCTCGAAAATCATCTAGCGTCGACCTGCAGATCTCAGATCCTCGAAGCAGAACACAACATGAGCAGACAATACAAGATCCAATATTCTCGGTACACACAGGATGCCGTGCCTGCTACCCTTGCAGCTATTGCATGATAAGATTCTTGGAGGGCAAGGGTGTTACCGGTGCACTACCTTGGTGGCAAAGGAATCCATTGAACAGTAGAGGACTTTCCAGAGTCAAGCATATGGATCCCCCATTGTACTATCCTCCCCTCGTATCTGGATGAAAGCCACCAACTGACCTGCAGAATCTCACCCACCTTTTGTGTCGCAACCAGATGACACGTTGTCAAGACACCATCTTAACCTGAGATGCACAGCCTTTAAGACCTATGCTGTGCACCAATGCGTCAATCTGCCAGCAGTCGGTAGCCGTTCATAGGTGGAACTGTTGGGGCTTGGGCGTGTCACAGGTACACTACTGATCCGGGCAGCTCGTTACGCTCAACGTTGGTCGACAGGGGACACGAACCGTCGGCAGTTCGGACCTCCACTTCCCCTCTGATGGGTTGACAGGGACCTAGGAAAGTAGATCTTATTGTATTTTTTACAAGCATGACTAGGCTCTTCGGTCTTCCATCCATGCAAGAGGAACACCCGCGAAAATGTTCCTGCCTCGGCTCCGCCAACTTTCTGTCAACCGGGTTGACCCTGAGAACCATACACGGAGGGCATAATGAGAGTAGTGCAACGCTGCCCCTGAGGGTCGTGGTACGAATATGGATATGTTCCGTAAAAGCAATCTATACGAGGATGGGAAACGCTGCAGGATTACCATAGTATGAGGGGTTGTACCAAGCTCAAGATTGCAGCGATCCCCACGGCATTGCCGCCATCGAACGATTCTTGATCAAGGCTGGTCCAGTACCATTTATGCTGGTCGGCTCAGCGCCGAACGGAATGCATTCGAAGAAACCTCGTCTTTCGAACTACTTTAGTGCAATATGTCCAGGCACGTTCGGATCAATATCATAGTTCCCGTCCATGTGGATCCGTTGCTGCATGCGTAGCGTATGTTGGTGCAGTTTCTCTACCATGGTTATTGCCGTTGTCGAGTCGCGAGATCGCAGCTGCGTGGACGCTCGTGATGCAACATGAACAAAGACATCGCAAATTTGCAACGCTTCAATCGGCCCGTCATTCCTGCTCAGCACGAGCGTAAGCGTTAGGTAATCGCATCACGTGCTGTCGCGCTCGTGCTTGAGCTTGGCCAGCTAGAGCATCATAGGTGGGCGGGGTAAAGTGCGGAGTGTTTAGCACACGAAACAACGCGTCGCGACGGGGAGGTAAGATGGACGTCACTGCATTTGGGGCAGCTATCGTTGACACCAAGTCCCAAGAGAACGGACGTGGAGTCGTGTCGAAGTCTACCTTTTCCTTCCTCGAGCTGCCTCGCGAGCTGCGAGACCAGGTTCGTGTCCCAACGGACTTGTCCCGTTTCTTCTAATGACCACATAGATTTACGACTATGTCTTCCACATGCAAGACAACCGCGGCGAACGCGCTCTTCGCATCGAGCGCCGCAATCTCAAATACTTTACACCCAGCGCCGCCGCCATCCTCCTCGTCCTGCACCACGAATACTTCCTACTCAGCCGGCAGGTTGCGCGGGAAGCCCTCGAAGTGCTCTTCAAAAACCACACAGTATTTCTCAGCTGCGGACCCTTTGTGCTCAAATCGCTCTTGGAAAGGATCGAAGAGCAGAATGGACCAGGCAGGCAGTGGCTGAGGTGGATAAAAAAGGTAGAGCTAGACTGGGTAACATTCCCGAACCTGAGATGCTATCCCCCAGACAGAGAAGAAGGGCGAGACGAATGGTGGTGGGAGCATGACGGGGAGGGAGTCGACGTCGACTACGTGCGCGGCGCTCAATACAACGGCCACTACGACGAACACGACTACGAAGGCGGGCACTACGACGACAACTTCTACGATCCAATCGACGCCTCTCTTTACCCTTCATTCCGCCAGCCCATCGCCCCACAAACTACCGACGCAAACGACATCTTCGGCTTCGCAAACCACTACCCCTTCTCCGACCCCTCGCGCGAACCCACCCACGATTCCTCAACACAGGAAGACATCTCCACGAAACTCGACCTCCTCGTGTCCATGGAAGTCACACCCCTCTTCACATACCTTTCCTCGTCCGCGTTCAGCCTCACCAGCATCACCGTGCCCTTATACTTCATCTCGAGGGAATCGCACCGCAACCGCAGCATCACACGGCCGGGGTACGCTCTCCCGCTCAAAATCCGCTACTGGGTGCAAGTATGCGTGCATGCCTTGCTCATGCTTACTTCAACATCCTCGCTGCAAGAAGTCCACGTCAAATACCTGCCCTGGGATATATGGGCGAGCATGGATCCTGCTGATAACCTTCGTCGCATCACGGAGAAGGGCGTGTGGTTCGATGAGATGGCAGACGGTCAAGACGATGAGAGGGAGGGCGAGGGCGAGGCGTTTCGCGCTGTGTGGGCGGGTCTCGCGGAGAAGGGACAGGATAGATTGGGGTTGTGTGCGGACGTGAAGTTTATTTCCTGGGATGGCAATGTGGACTCGTATAGGATTGGAGATGAAGTCGAAGTCGTGTTTACGAAGAACGCGGAGTGAGAGCGGGAACTGTATTAGACGGCTCATGCCAGGCAGTGGACACGAATTCGTCAGATCTTGTACACAATGCTTAAAGGTAGGATAAGTAGAAGAGCAAGAAATCATGAAAACATACAACATAATCTCGGCATTCAAACAGCTGTAAACTATTACGACTACATGATCCTTTTCTTTGCGGATATCAAACGCCAAACACCCTCCCTGTATGCAGCATCCCAGATCAACCTCAAACACGGCCCACTTTTCTTTACTTCCTGCTCGACTTGTGCTTCTTCTTCTTCCCGCCCTCTTTCAGCTTCTCCGCCTCCTTGTAAGCCTCGTCGACAGCCTCGCCAACCTTGCGCTTCTTCTCGCCCGTCTTGACGCTAACGGTCATGCTGTTCGGCCCACCCTGCTTCGCCGCTTTGCTGATCTGGCGCTCGGCGTCCTCCCAGTCGGCGGCACCGGTTCCGATTTCGTACCTGCGATGACGCGTTAGATGGGGTTTTGCAGTGTTTGGGGGGTGGAGTGGAGATACATACCTGTGAAGAGGCAGGGCATCGACAAGGGCCCTAGCCCTCTCGCGCTCCTCTCTCATCGCCTCGTCGCCGCCTTCTCGCAGCTCCTCATCGAGGTCTTTCTCGAGGGGCTGGAAGCGTTGTTGTGTACTGGTCTTGACGTCGCCGCCGTCGAGGTCGGGCTCTTCTACTTCCATTGCCTCGGGCATTGTCTGCTCGACGGCGCCTTCGACGATGCTGCGGAACGACGTTGCGGCCTTGCGGATGATCTTGACGAACATGGCCATCAGCTGGCTGGAGTTGAGGCCGAGCTCCCGTTCTACTTCCGAGAACTCTTTTCGCTGGAGACCAACGGCGAGGAGTAGTGCGGTTTGAACACCGCTCATTTTGACTTGGCCCTTGAGACGGCCGGTGAAGTAGAGGTGCGCGATGGGAGGGAGCATGTCGAGGATGACGTGGTAGTCGAGCATGTTGTTCGCGTAGGAATCAAGACGCTTGAGATCGAAGGGGCTGAACAGAGCGTCGAGTTCTGCCTTGCTGATAGTCTTTGGTGCAAGATCAGCGTCTAGCTTCGAGCCTGCTGATGCGGACTCTTCAATCGACAGAGAGGTGACTGCGGGGAATGTTCGGAACTGGTAGGAGAGTAGGGAGAGGAAGCGCTTCTGGAAATCCTTGGTAAATGCCGCAACCCAGCTGCCGTCTGATGAGGTGGTTTCCAGCGAACGGAGCATGATGCATGTGTGTTCGCCGGTAAGATCGTTGGGAGTTTGACGAAGGTAGACTGGAACAAAGGACGCGCGTTTCCAGAACTTGTGGAGTTGTGGGGTGAGGCCATAGGACACGCCGACGTAATCGAGCTGTGGAGCCTTGAGTTCGGGTAGTCGAGCGAAGAGCGGCGGCATCTCGTTCGCCTCTCTGACCTTTACGTTGTCTTGTAGAAGGGTAGAGTCTTCTAGATCTTCGTTTGTTACCCTCCTCATTTCCTCGACTTCACGGGGCTCAGTCTCTGACAAACTGGCAAGCTTTCCATCGTAGAAGTCGACAAGCAGTTCAAGCGCTCGAGATCCGTAGCCCATCTTGACGTAGTCGGGATTTGTTGCTATCCGTACAACACGTGCACCCGAAAGACTTGCAAAGTTCTCGTCCTGGAACTGCTGCGAGACGATCCAGGGTATCAGATCACCGCCAGCGCGTTGTCCACGACTCAGGCTGCTCATGACGCTTTCTTTGCTAATCTGACCTTCAAGCGCAACCTGGATAACGCAAAGGGGTTCAGGGAGCTTGTTTTCCTCGGCGGGCGCAGTGAGAACGAAGAGCTGGTGGGCGGGTGCATCAGACATGAGCTGAAGATCGTTGGGTGTGTTCTTGTAGTGACTAGCAACGTATAGAGCCATCATTTTCTGCAGGAACTTCTCGGCTGCCGGGTTGTAGGAGAAGAGGGTATCGCGGTTGACGTGGAGAAGCTGGCATTCTGACGGGTGCGGGCATCCTTGTGTGTTCAGCTTCGATTTGGGGAGCGTAGCGTCGAGACACAGCAAGTCGTTCAGCCATCGCTCAACGGAGTCGCCTTGAGCGTATCGAATGGGTTCTGAGAGCGTGATTTCGCGAAGCGAGCGGCCAGCCATGGTGGGCTCTGTGCCGTCTTTTGCCTCTTTGCCTGTGGAGCGATCCATCACCTGAGTCGTGCCGTTGGTCGATCTTCCTCGCGACTGCTCACGGAGCTGCTGTATGAGCTTCAGGGAGAGCGATCGTCCAGTTCCTTCGTAGCCGTTGATGGTCGAAGCCATAAAGACCAGATATGGTCCCATCAGCTTCCGTACCAGGGGTAGAGGAATAGCCGCGGCCTCATCGATGACCAGCAACTCTGCTTGACCTAGCTGATGCGCGTCTTGCGGTTGGATGTACTGGATAACCTGTCGATGCTGTCGGTGTATGTTGATTCGGACGATTGCCTTGTTGAACTCTGCGTGGGACGACTGCATGATCTCGTAGTCCTGGCGATCCATGTAGCCTAGCGCGTCGAATCCTTTGAGGACGAAATCGAAGAGGGTCTTCAAGTTCTCGGGACTTGGGGATGTGATGTAGATGTTGCTATAGCCGTGCGCGACTGCTGCCGCGACTGCTACACCCAAAGCTGCTGATTTTCCTCGACCTCGAGCAGCCGTCAGAGTCACTGTGCTTTGTAGTGTCTTTTCCACGATCGCGTCGACGAACGTCAGCAGAGCTTTCGCCTGATCCACCGTCTTCGCGAGCTTGATGAGATCGCCCACGGGAGGCGAGTCTGCCAGGGATTCCTTGATTTCTCCCAACTCTTTCGCCTTTGGTGTCTTGCCTTCCATCTCTGGATCCGGTGGTGGTAGTTGCTTGACATGCTTTCCACCAGAGATGGGAAGCACGTTCAGCTCGTCGTCGACAACCAAGCAGCTGTCGCATTTCCCAAGCGACAGCAGGAACCTCTCGTTGAAGCGCGCCACAACATCGCTGTGCGCCTCGGTCCGGTACCTCGAGTGGATATCCATAGACATTGTGTACAGCTGCTTCAAGCTGCTCATGCCCTTCAGCAGCAATATCACCAATCCTCCACCCTCCACCGTCTCGATCGTCCGCGCAAGCAGGTTCGGCGTCAGCGCCTCAAAGTCCTGCAAGATGCACATGCCGTATGTGTTTCCGAGAATCTTCTCCGTCTCCTTGTAGTAGACATAACGGATGTTTTGCGACGAGACGAATAGTTCGAAGGGATCTTCGGTGTCGACGTCGCGGATTCCTCGCTTGATCTCGTTCTTGATCTTCTTCTCGCGCTTCTTGCGATGACTAGACTGAGCGTAAGTTTCTACCCCAGCTCAAAACCAAGTGTCCTGCGCACCTCGAGAATCCCAGCAGCTTGTTCTTGTATGCCCAGAGCACCGATTTGTTCAGCTTGACGTCCACATTCAACAGAATGTGGTACAGGTTGACTATGACATCTTTTTGACGATCGCCAACAACTACGAAGAAGCTTCGCTTTTTTTCCTGCGAGGTGTGAGCTTGCTTCGTTGCCTCTACAGCTCGAGCGCATGCGTACCTGTGCGCCATTTCGGATCAATGCCGGTATGCGAGAGTCACTGGATTCGTGTGAGCATCCACAATTGCTTTGGTCCTTCTTAGTCCACATACATAGCTTTCTTCGGCATCTTGACAGCTCCGCAGGCTTCCCCGCCGCCTCTCTAGTAAATGACTTGAACGCGGTGGCGCAGATGATTCTTTCTGAGGAGCTTGATCGCAAAGGTTTTCTGCTACGTATACACTAAGCTGACCTTGAAACCCCCGGAGTCGATGGAATATGCGCTTTTGGTAACCAAAGTTCGACTTCGAGATCGACTTCGAAATTTCGCGGCAGAATCGGACCTTGGCAGCTAGAAACGCCGACACTAGAGCCACCGCCTTTGGTTCTGTACTTACCATCACAGTGCCCGAGTAGTAAAACACATCTTATCATTGTAGAAGAGGATCCTCGTAAGGCTTCTTCAGGCACGTGTGGACCGACAGTAGGTTGAATAGGTGTATTGTCGTGTTGTGTGATACTCTACTAAACTCCCCATAGTGTTGTGTATCACATGATGTTGATCACGTGTACTTTCTCACGTGATCATCTCCGATGGGTCTTTAGGATACTTCCCATGTTACGCCACCACATTCCAAGTGTTTGTGAGCGTGGCTACGAGAACACCCAGAAACTAAACGCTATATCCCTACTCCGCCTTCAACGCCTTCCTCGACTCAGAGTACTTCTCCAACCCCACATGTTCATTGATCCAATCCAGCACAACCTCATGCCACATAAGGCTGTTCGCTGGTTTAAGTACCCAATGGTTCTCGTCGTTGAACGTGAGGAACTGACTCGGTACACCCCTCGCCTGCAGTGTATGGAACGCCGCCAACCCCTCACTAATCGTCAGCCTATAGTCCAACTCATTGTGAATAATGAGATGCGGCGTCGCCCAGTTCTCAGTAAACTTCGACGGATCCCACTTCGCCCACGCCTCGGGGTTCTTCCACAGCGGGCCCTTCAGGTCGTGGAACGGGAAGTAGAGTTCCTCAGAGGCCAGCTGGCCACTCATTGAGAAGACGCCATCGTGGGTGACCAGCGCTTTGAACTCGCGGCCTAGAGGGTGGCCTTGGATCCAGTTCATCATGTACCCTCCGTATGACGCACCGAGGGCAACAGATCGGTCGATGTCGACGTAGCTTAGGTTCTTCTTGATATAGTCGAAGCCCAGCACGAGGTCTTCGTAGGGTAGACCACCCCATTGGCCTTGGATGGCGTCTGTGAAGTCTTGGCCGTAGCTGGTGCTGCCTGTTGGGTTGGGGCAGATGACGACGTAGCCTTGCTCGGCGAATACGGCTGGGTTCCAGCGCGTACTCCAGCTGTCTTCCCATGCACCTTGTGGGCCTAGACTCATTAGCTATAGTTCCTCTTTATAGCAATTTATGCAAAAGATTTCAGACTTACCACCATGAATCACGTATGCAAGTGGATAGGTCTTGTCAGAAGAGAAGTTGCTTGGTTTCATGACCCAAGCATGCACCGAGGTATCGGGTGCTGCGCCAGGCCAGTGAATCTCACCAACCTGTCGACGGGAAAGACCGAACATCGATCCGTGGCGAGTATTTGAGGAAACAGACTTGGTCGTCAGACTAGTCGGGTTGACATCAAACGGACTGTCGTCTACGGGGAGGGAGTAGACATCCGTGTGGTCAGATCGAGCGCTGATTGGAACAATCGAGTACAGACTGTTCTCAATCAAGCTGGTGGACGTCAGGAAGATATCCCCACTCTTGAGCACTTGAGCAGCCGTGATTGACCCGTTGCCTTCCACGACTACCGATGGCAACTTGGATTCGGGGTTCTTGGGACTGGGAGGCCCGGCATGAAAGAGGCTCATGCGGCCGTGATCTTCTGCTGTGAAGTAGAGATGCCAGTCGTCTGGGCTCCAGGAGATGGACTGCGGGCTCCTGTCCCATTTCCCTTTACCGTCATCTGAAGCGAAGACATTAGTCGGCTTTGATGGATCGCGGAAGTCGTGAATAATAAACACTTGGTTCTTGTCTGATTCGTAGCCGTCCGTCTTCATGGACAAAAAGGCAATCATCTTGCCAGAGTTTGACCAGACTGGACTAGTGCTGGCGCCTTCGAAGCCATCGTTCGACACCTTTTTGATTTCTGGAGGGCTTTCCGTGTGCACGCTGTCCCAGAACTTGTCGGAAGCTGAGATGTAGATGTTTGTCTTCGTGTGGAAAGCAGGGCTGAGATCGGGGTCTTTCGCCGTAAACACGAGGCCGTTTGCAGAGATGTCGAAGTGGTCTTTGCCGCCGAAAGGATCAATTGGACTTTCGAGTTTTGAACCCTTGAGCGCGTTCTTCAGCTTGGAGAGTTGAAATTTGTCGTCCTTCTTGCACAGCTTGGCTAGCCAGATAGCGTTGCGGTTCTCAGTCACATAGTGATCCCAGTGCCTGACAAATACAGCGTCGTAGAGCCTGCCTGATGTAATAGGCTTCTCCGCCTTCTCAGGATTGAAAAGAGATCCGTCTGGCTTCGCTTTGCCAGAAACAGCAAAGGCAAACTCTCCATCGTCAATAGCATGAACCTTGAGGTCGCCCACTGGGCCTTCGATAGTACCAGCTGTGTATTTACTATACCGGTGTTAGCAAGAATTCGTCAAATTGCGAGCAGACTGCACTACCTGTTCTCAAAGCTATCCGCCTTCCCCACCACCACATCCGTTGATCCCCCATCACCCGACTTCAGCAACAGCACAGTCTCATCGTCAAGCCAGGTCGGCTCACTCGCAGACTTGTCATCCGTAACCAGACTGGTCTGCTGACTCGCTACATCCAGGATGCGAATTTCAGACTTCTTGGTATGATCTGCGAAGCTGTACGTCGATACGCTGTACAGCACTTTGGAAGCATCCGAGTTTGGAACACCTTCAGACCGGCGAGGCGCGCTGAGAAGCACCTCTGGCGTAAACTTGGCAGCCCTGATGGTCATGTTGAGTAGGGGAGCAGGAGGATGTGGAGAGCGCGCCTACATCTTGTCAGATTTATTCTCTATGTTTGAATCCAAGGTGTTGGAGTAATGGCGAGCAAAGACAGCGGGCGTAGACTGCAGATGCACATGACGTGGTCTCGCAGCCATGCCGTGCCCCGGAACAGGACAGGGTATACAACAATGCTGCGACAAACTCGGAAGCGTGCGTCTCGCCAATTGAACAGGAATCCTTCCAATTGTCAAAGTGGACGCAACTCTGGACAGAAACAGAGGCATGCGTGTTGGAAACAGAGAAACAGGTCGAGCGTGAAGCCTACAGAGACGAGAACGGCCATGGTGCTTGATCACGTTCATTTGACCGGACAGAAGCCGGAACTTACTAGTAATGTCAATCAACTTGAGATACTACAAATCGCTCAAACGAACGGATGTATGTCTTGAGAGAAGGTGGAGGTTGGACAAGAGCACCGTGATGTTGAAGCTCAGAGGCGGTGACTAGACAAATGATGTGGTTGGTCCACGCACGACGCCGCAGCTGATTCGACATGCATGACCGCCCTTGATGTTGACTGGCCTCCAACTTGCAGATTACCCCGCATTCCAGGACCACTCGAGCACACAAACAGAGACGATCAGTCGACATAACAAATCAGTATATATACACCAAAAATCGCCATTCTCGGAAAAATCAGTCCACAGCGGTTCCAAGAGCCGTCTAATTCCTGTGGCGCAGTGGTTAGTTCCCCTGCTTACAATATTCCACCGGCGAACAATTGCTGACCTCATCTCCAGGTAGCGCGCCGTTCTTATAAGATTCGTCAGACTCTTATGACTCATCTGGGTTATGCGGATGCCGTGGGTTCGATCCCCACCAGGAATATGCACCTTTTTTTGCCCTCTTTTTGCTGCTTATCAAGTGATTGATTTTGGGAAAGTTGTGAGAAGCTGTATTGGGAGGAAGAATGCTTAACTACGACGAATGGGTAAGTTATGTTTTGCATTTCCTGCCCAAACTCTGCTACTAGGAATCACGCACCTTTTTGCCAGATCAAAAAGACGTTCTCGGGCGCTATGGCGGCGCGTCGTTAGATCAACAAGCTCACAAGCTATGTATTGTATGTCCTGCTTAAACATAGTGATGAGTTACAACAATCTATGCAATTCTAAAAAGTACAAGTGTATGCGTGAAGCAACATCTATCTAGACATAACGCATCTTCTTTGCCCTTTTTGCCTTTCCGCCAGAGTAAAAACTCTTTGGGAGGTTCATGGTCGGGAAGGAGTAGTATCGAGCAGGACAAATACGAAAGTTATTTTGCACGCCCTGCTCAAACGCTGTCATAAGTTGCAACACGACGAGCAATTACAAAAGTAAGAGTGTATTTGCGAACCACCATCTACCTAGCCCTCCCCCTCTTCACGGCCGCGCCCCCGGTCCCCAGTAGTACTTCCTCAGCGCGCTCTCCTCATCCCTTACACTCCTCCCAATCATATTCCCCAAAATCTCCACCTGGCGCTCATACTCCCACGTCGGCGTATCCGCGCCCCTCATGCCAATAAACCGGGCAAACATGCGCATCTTGATCTTCAACCGCTCCAAATCCGCGAGTCTGCAGTTCTCGGGCAGAGCGGGGTCAGTGGACAGGAAGGGCCGGTCCCAGTCCATGGTCTGCGGGTACTGGTGCGTCAGCTCCGAGAGCTCGGCCTGCGAGTAGAAGCGCGCGAGGCGGTCGAGTTGTGGCTCTGTGAGCAGGAAGAGGTGCAGCATTGAGGGGGGGAAGTCGGGCGCGGGCTGGCCGGAGAGGACGTGCACTATGGGCGCGATGGCGAGGCGCATTTGGGAGACTTTGAGGGCGAGGGCGGGGTTGCGTTGGGAGAGGGGTCTGCGTGGTGTTCTTGGGCGTTTGTTTGGTTTGCTTATGCCTGCTGTGAGGCTCATGCGGTGGGTGGGCATGGGTTCGGTTTGGTTGGGCGTGCTTTCCTTTCTTCTTGCGTGGGCTGTTGCTGTGCGACGGTGGATGGGTTTGCTGCGGGAGGATTTGATAGGAGGCGGAGGGTGCAGCAAAGCGCAGGGGCAGGGGCTGCTTGTGATATATAAGCGGTGCACAAACGGACAAAGAGGGTGTCAGAAGAGAAGAGGTGTTGTTGGTGCTTTGCTCTTTGTTATGCGCCCAAGACATGCTGTTGTGTTCTGAGCTGGTGTGAAGGGCAGATCTTTGTTGCGCGCCTGGAAGAGTATTCTGCACAATGTGCTGCTTCCATGATCTGGCGGCCAAAGGTCATCGGCTGCTTGGAGATTGTGATGGGGTGCTGGATGTGACGCCGCAGTGCGTTGGTCCGTCTTTCACAATCTGAAAGCAATGTGTTTCGGGCGTGCTTAACCAAAGCTCAGTGGGAGTTTTCGTTGTCCAGCGGATCGTGAACTGTAAGATATCCACGTCGCTAGCAGGGACGAGACATAGCTCTTATGCACCGAGAATCTTCTCCAGTGAGACATCGTTCTCAGCACCGCCGACAGGTTCGACATTGGCCCAGAATTTGCTCAAGTGTCTCGCACCACTGTGAAGGCGTTAGTGGTTTCTTCAAAAGTCGACAAGGGAATCTCACCTGTCGCACAGCAATGTGACAATGCGATGTCCAGGGCCGAGAGTCTTCGCGAGCTTCGTAGCAGCAACGCCTTTTTGAGTCAGATCTGTCACTAGGAGTAGAGTGAGTAACTCACAATTTACTGCGCTTGAACTGCCAACGAATATCCCATCATGTTCTACCAACCAACGCGCCATAGCAATCGCCTGGTCATCATTCACTCTGATTGCATCGTCAATGAGCTCTCTTCCAATGTCGAAGTTGTGAGTAACCCGGTTGATGCCGATACCTTCAATAATCGTATCGACCTGATGTCGTCGACGCGTCCCTTCTTTCTCTTTGGGGTCGAACATCACCCCGTACTTGACGCGATTGTACAAGCCACTACCTGGGGGATCCGCAAGGACGACCTGGAGATTGGGCAGTTTCGACTTGAGGAAGAGGGCTACTCCAGAGATGGTCCCTCCAGTACCAGCACCGCTCACAAATGCATCCAGAGAACCGCCCGTTTGCTCGTAGATCTCAGGGCCAGTACCAGTGAAATGCGCACGCCAATTCGCTTCCGTTTCGAACTGATCTGCAAAGAGTCCTCGTCCTGGCTTGTCAGAGTTCGCAGTGTGTTCGGCAGCTCTGGTCCGCGCAAGATTGACAAACTGGTTTTGATCCACGATGGGTGCTGGCCGCACTCTTTCTACTTCTGCGCCGAGCTTCAGGAGGAGGTCTGACTTTTCGATTGCCATGTCGTTTGGCATGCAGCTGCAGTTCATTAGTGGCTGATTGCACTTGTCATGCGAACAGCTTACATGTGTGCTTTGTAGCCTCTTGCTCTGCATATGGCTGCCAGTGATATGCCTGTACTCCCTACCGTTCCTTCATAGACGGTATCACCAGAGTGTGGAATAAGGAGACCCTTCTCTTCGGCCTGTAACTCTTAGCAACGTGAGTCGGGCGAGCTGGTGTGAAAGAGTGTACCATTTGGATGATGCCCAGAGCAACACGATCTTTTGGGCTGTTGCCGGCTCCATTGAGGAACTGATCAACGTTAGATCGTGGGATACATATTTTGAGAGAGTCCTGACCTCCGCCTTTACGAGAATCTCACATCCCGTGTACTCTGACAATGACTTTATTTTGATGAGGGGAGTGTCGCCGATGCATCCTTCAATGCCGTCTTTGATACTGCCAGCTCCTTTTTCGAGCAAACTTTCAATCTCCACCAAACTCTTCTTGAGAGTGTCTAGATCGTTGATTTTCGAGAGTTTGGACAGAAGATTGTGCTGCTGTTTTAGTTGTCGTTCCGAGGTGGCATTTTCAATTTCTTGTTGAGATGCCGAAGAACGTTGATTGTGTGCAGCAGTGAGCGCTACGCCCAGGAGAAATGCTCCTATTATGTAGTATCTGGACTGATCCAACATCACTGGGAGTCGGAGTGCAAGCAAGACGGCGGAGCAGAGACGAGAGTGGGTTGACCAGATGGAGCTTGGACAAGTCGATTGGCTTGGCAGGAATGATCCCCACGTCCATGTGCGCAACAAGCTGCTCTCACTGTCGCGGCTGTTCCTGAGCACTTGCACTCGCACAGGCGTCAATGGATTCGCCCCTCGTCGCGCAACTCTTTCGCCAGCTCTTCTCGCACCGAGCCTCGCAATGTCTTGCCCGCGGAGCTCGACCTGCCCTCGCGGCTGCCCGCGCTCCGCAAACCCAACGTCGGGGGAAGACGACACGGATGCCTGCCGGGGAGACAACAAGGGAGAGCAGGTGGACGCCCCGAAAGAACGCATTCCCACATGAGAGGACGGAGGAGTTCGACAAGTACCCCATGGTCACGTCGGACATGCTGCGGACGCGGAAGCAGAGGCCGCGCAGAGTGAAGATGCTGATGCGGGACTTTATCGAGGACAGCCTCTACAACCCAAGCTATGGCTACTTCTCCAAGCAAGTCGTCATCTTCTCCCCCGGCGACCCTTTCAACTTCAACGAAATGTCCTCGGAGCACGAGTTCTTCCAGCAGCTGCGGCACCGCTACACCGAGTTCGAGGATGCGCTCGACTACCAGGAACCCAATGAGCTGCGCCAGCTCTGGCACACGCCCACCGAGCTCTTCTCGCCCTACTACGGAGAAGCTATTGCGCGGTACCTTGTGGAGGACTATAAATACAACTTCTACCCGTACCACGATCTCAACATCTACGAGATGGGCGCTGGAAACGGAACGATGATGCTGAATATTCTGGACTACATAAGAGATGTGCATCCAGACGTATATGTGTACACGAAATTCAAGATCATCGAAATTTCCAGTCAGCTAGCGAACCTGCAGCAACAAGGACTAGGCCACTCAGCATATGCAAGAGGACACTCAGACAAGGTAGAGATTGTCAACCAATCCATCTTCGACTGGAACACCTACGTCTCCTCACCCTGCTACTTCCTCGCCCTAGAAGTCTTCGACAACTTCGCGCACGACGCGTTGAAATACGACGTCGAGACCGGCGCCCCATACCAGTCCCACGTCGTCGTCGATCCCCGCGGCGAGCTATTCGAGTACTACTCCCGCACACTCGACCCCGTCGCAACCCAGTTCCTCAACACCCGCCACGCAGCTTGTCCTTCCTACCCGCACCCCCTCCAGGGATCGCGCATGATGCAAAACCTGCGCAGTCTGGTCCCGTTCAGGGGGAATCTGAGCACGCCGGAATACATACCCACGCGCCTGATGCAGTTCTTCAACATCCTGTACTCGAAGTTTCCAAACCACAAACTGATCAGCAGCGACTTTAACAAGTTGGGCGACGCGGTCGAGGGGCTTAATGCGCCTGTTGTGCAGACACGGTATAAGAGGGAGATGATTCCTGTTTCTACGCCGCTTGTAAGTTTGGCAATACACCGTATGTGTGATTGTGTCTGGGCTGTTGCTGATTCTATAACAGGTCCACCAGGGATATTTTGACATCCTCTTCCCCACCGATTTTGACGTCGTCGAGCCCATGTATACGGCCATCACGGGCCGGTTTGCGCGCACATACTCGCACGAGGATTTTATGGCCGGCAGGGCGGATCTCGAGGAGACGAGTGCGAAGAACGGGGACAATCCGCTGTTGAGTTGGTATAAGAATGCGAGTGTGATGATTACGGTGTAGATGGATCCAATGAACTTATTGGAAAGTATATATGAATAAACCTTCGTACAACGTAACCACTATGTTTGATGAGAAAAAGTTCTATACATGTCGATGATGGGGACATGGGATATCTGTTATGAAAGAAACACGTCCAATGCCATGCTGAACTCCAAGCTTTCCGTAGTGACTACTCTTACACGTCGCTTTTGACCCATTTCAACCCTCGACCACAGCAAACACATCTCACCTCCTAAACAACCCACTAATCATCCCCCCAGCCAGATTCCGCGCCAGCCCAGACCCATACATAGCATTCGACGCAAACCCACTCGCCTGGCTAAACTTATCACACCTCGAGAACGCCAGGGTATTCGTAACCGTCAACACCAACGCGATAACTGCATCACATTAGCCCCTCATCCCCACACACGACACACGCCCAAAAAACTCACCAACAAGCGTCAACCAAATAAACTCCAGCGACACCAGCGCAACAACAGCCAGCACAACCCACAGCACAGGCTGCGCATACAGCGCGAGCCAGAAAAACCGCTTATCCGTCGCATTGACCTCGCGCACGTCCGGGTCGGCGCTCTCAAACACCCAGCGCCCGTCGCCCGTCGTGTTGTCGACTTCGTTCCACCAGCGCAGCCCGACGAGGCGCCGGCCCGCGATGTTCTTCAGGTAGTAGAAGTCCATGGCGAGCAGCAGGATGGTGACGATGAAGATTAGGACGAAGTTGGAGGAGAGGAGTTGCAGGCCGAGGAGGTAGACTAGGAGGGATGCTATGAGGGGGGTTGGTATGTCTGTGTGGAAGGATATATGGGTGTAGATGGGGACGTACAGATGCGGAAGAACAGGAACGTGAGCAGCGTGATAGGATGCGCGCTCAGGCGCCAGCTCAACGAGCCGGGCGCGGGGGTCTGCTGGGCCGTCTCCATTTATGGTGTTGGTGGTGTGGGTTGGCGACGTCGTGGTCGGGGGGGAGCTTCGAGCTCGAACTACACTACGGTTGACGGTGAGCTTCACGTGTCATGTTCATGGCTGAAACGCGTCGCAGGTCGGCGGGTCGGCGTTTTCCCCGCGTGTGGGAAACGGCACCCGCGTCATCGCTTCGCATCGCATAGCCTATGTGGAGCGGTCCGGAAACGGCTATCTCCAATCTAGGTATATCACCACCAGCACTGGTAACGGCCTGCGGTCTGGCGGGTTCACTCTGGCCCATAACTTCTCGACATGGCTGCTCCTATTATCCGCAGGGCGTGCATGTACGGTACGCTCCACCCCACCCCATCCTCTCCATAACAATCTCAAACTAACACTCCCCCAAAGTCCCCAGTTCCTCGCAAAAAATGCTCGACAAATCCCTCGCCATGCACGCCGACAACATAACCTTCGACCTCGAAGACAGCGTCGCCCCGCACCTAAAATCCTCCGCGCGCCAGAACCTACGCGCCATCCTATCCCGCCCGCGCCCCGCCGGCATCAAGGAGCTCTGCGTGCGCATCAACAGCGTGGACACTGGTCTCGCGCTGGCCGACTTAACCGAGGTCCTTCAAGGCGCACACCTCGACGCCATCATGCTGCCCAAGTGCGAGAGCGCAGCGGACCTACACTTCGTCACGGACGTGATACGACACCTGAGCCCCGCGCGGCATCCCGGCAGTGGTGGCAGCACAGGGAAGGAAGTCAAGATCATAGCGCTGATTGAAAGTGCGCGCGCGGTGCAGAATCTAAGCCAGATATGCGCCGCGAGCCCGTATCTAAGCGGGCTAGTCTTTGCCGCGGAGGACTTCGCGAAGGATATGAGCCTGACGCGGACACCCTCGCTGATGGAGTTTCTGTATGCCCGCTCGGCGATAGCGACGGCGGCGCGGGCGGCCAAGTTGCCGTCGACGATTGATCTCGTGTGTACGAGGTATAAGGGGGAGGAGGGGTTGAGGACGCTGGAGGAGGAGTGCTTGGGCGGGAAGGGCTTGGGGTTCAATGGTAAGCAGTGCATTCATCCCAGTCAGGTTGCTGTTTGTCACCGGGCGTTCAGCCCCGGGGAGGGGGAGGTCGAATGGGCGGCGCGCGTGGTGATTGCGGATGAGAAAGCTAGTCGAGCGGGGCGCGGGGCGTGGACGCTCGAGGGCAAGATGATCGATGTGCCTGTTGTTAAGAAGGCACACGCTGTGCTCAAGCACGCGGAGGTCTGCGACATAGACGTCACGGCCGTAAAAGAGAAATGGAAGGCCCAAGAGCCTGAGTGATACCTATCAACCCATCCTGTATAGTGTAGTCTAATACCCCCTCCCCCTCTCCACCTCATTAACAAGCTTCCCCCCCGCCCTCTCCCGCCGCATATTCTCCCGCAACAGCTCAAACGCCCGGTCCACATACGCATCCGTATTCCCGCTCACATGCGGCGTGATGGTGCAGTTCGGCGCCGTCCACAGCGGGTCCTCCTTCGGCAGCGGCTCCGGGTCCGTCACATCGAGGGCGGCGCCACCTATCAGGCCTCCTTCCAACGCTGCGATGAGCGCAGCTTGGTCGATGATGGGGCCGCGCGCGATGTTGGCCACGTAGGTGCCGCGCGGATTGCTTTTGTGGAGGAGCTCGAATTCGGGGGTGGAGAGGAGGTGGGTCGTTGATTTTCTGGGGGTGTGTTTCGTCAGTGTAAGTCCCCTGTAGCCACGGTGTTTGTTTTCTTACGTTAATGGCACGCCAATGACGAGCAGGTCTAACTCCTGCGATAGGAACTCGTGCAGGGCTTCCTTGGAGGTGCCGCTGTACCATGCGCTGGGGAAGCTGCCATCTGGGTCGCCGGTCCCCGGGACTATGAAACCAGTGTCTTTCCGGGATTCGGGCGTGGGTTTAGGGGAGGCCGTGTAGGCGAGGACATCCATGCCCATTGCTTTTGCCACGCGGGCGACTATTCCGTCGTGTTAGTTGTTGACATATCATTCGGCGGATTCTCAAGCGATGAACAACTTCCCAGTGCAATAATGGAAAAAGTCAACTCCGGAGACTCTTGTCCGACGACCAAACCCCCCCATCCCGTACACATACAACAAAACAAACAAAAAAAGAACAAAACTCACCCTGCCGCCCAATACTCCCATACCCCAACACACCAACCCGTTTCCCCACACGGTCCCTCACCACCACCTCCTGATACCGCGAATTCCACTCCCGCCGCTTCTGCTGCTCCCAGTACGTGACGAACCCGTGGCTGTGCAGCAGGTCCATCATGACGACCCATTCTGCGATCTGGGGGCCGTGGACGCCATTGGCTGAGCACAGCGGGATGGTCGAGTCGGTGTAGATGGGGTGTGTGGCTACGTTGTTGATGCCTGCGTTGAAGAATTGGATGAATTTTATCGAGGGGATGGAGGATGCGGTTGGGGGGAGCCAGAAGAGCGTGCAGATGTAGGTGGCGCGGTGGATGAGGTCTGGTGGGGGGAGGGTTAGATGGAGGTTGGTGGGATGAGGGGGGGGGGGGGGGGGGGGGGGGGGGATGTTGGATGGGAAGAGGAAAAGATCGACTGTGAATATACGCGGGGAAATAGAAGAAAAGAAAAGGAAAATATAACATGGTATGACATGATCCCCTGTCCCCGTTACGCATCCTTACACAGGGTAAAAACTCTCCGCATCCATCCACACCCACGTCCCCGGGCCCTCACACGCAAAAAGCAAAGCAAAGAAAACCCCCCATCATGCAGCCCTACAAATGCTCAAACGTACCTTCAGGGATATCAATCTGCACCGGCCTGCCCTTCTCAACCCTCGAGTAATAATACCGCACCTCAACATCTTCAAACTCCTCTTCCACCTTTTCAATCCCCTTCTTGGCCGCGTTTTCAGGGAACGGCACGACGCAGAGCACGAGCTCTTTCTCCTTTGCTGCGTGCGGGGGGTGCGGGAGCTCTGGTCCGCCGCCCATTGCGACCATTTTGTGTAGTGTTTGACGGGGGTTTTTATTATTATCGGTGTTTATGTGTTTAGATGGGGTGGAAGATTTCGAGGCTGGGGATTAGTCTGGGGAGAGAGTTTGTGTGTGTTTCTGAAGTTATGGTGGATGAAGGACGTTGGTGATGGTCGTTGTTATCCGTTCGGTGGGGCAGGGAACGAAACGACGACATGGTGGATTCCCCATTTCAAAGCATCATATGACGTGATCCTCTTCGCTCTTCTCGTCAGCATTACGGCGATGCGAACATAGTAAGACCTAGGAATCAGGATGCTTAGAAGATGGTCGCCGTAAATGGGTAGATAGTCGATAAGCTCAGGTTCGGTGATATTTCTCCAATTGCCTTTCCCTACGAAGTTACTGCGTGGATTTACGAACATCGCTCGATGCCACTTGAAACTACAGAAATTGATGCGACGTCAGGGGAATATCTTCGCTTACGGTGATAACCTTGCGTTCAGCACCATGATAGGTAGGCGTGTGGTTCGCTTCTGCCTGTCAAGCCACAGATTCTGTTCCAGGTTATCACAGCCAAACTCCCTCCTATCTCAACCACACGCGAGATAATCTGCAAAGTCCCTGTCACACTATCTCGGCTTCCCGGGGGGGGCACCTTCATCTCCACCTGCACCATCACATCCCGCATCCTCGCCCACGGGCCGTGAGAACATCCCACCCAAAGCGCCCGCTCTAGAGCCAGCCAGCCACCCTCCACCATCAACCACAACGATTTCCCGCCCCACCGCAATATCCACGAACCCTCATTACCCCAGGAACCCAAACCAGCGTATCAAAAAAACCTCAGCTCCTACTAATGAGCCGAGCCGTCCCATCATCTCCAATCCAAGCCGAGCCGGCGCTCGCCTCAACCCTGCAGGAATCCTCCAGAAACCACCATGTCCAGCGAGCTAGTCCGCATAGCAGCACACAGCATCCATATGGGGAAGAATTCCCGACCATACAACTTTACGCTGTGATGGGATTTCTGTAACCAAAACGACCCTCCACATCAGGCATGAGCAACAAATGTCGTGATATGTAGAGGCTTCTGGAAAGACAGGGCTTCCTAGGCGAGGCCTGCAGGTCATGCATGCGAGCCGACGTCTGTGCGTGCAACGCGTCTGCATGAGGCGTGCTGGTGTCGTGTGTACAAGCCGTTCGATGCAGGTACTATGAACTGCATGGTAAGACGGTGGGTATTACTCGGCGGGGGGGGGGTTTGTTCCCTAAAGTGGGCACGGTGTCCAGTGTAGTCTCTGGGCAGTCAGCACGGCACGTCGGTCCTTGGGCACTGTGTGAAGAAGCGGGATGTTGTGATGTCCAGACGTCACGTCAAGCCACATCGGGAAATGCAATCGTTCGTCCGTCAGCGTGGCACGTTGGTGGAGCCCGTTCGCAGGGGGCCTGGCCGGGAAAATGCGTCGGATGTATCAATCCTACGTGCTTGAATTTTGCATAGGGCGTTGAGCTGTGGGTCTGTGGAGATGGACTGCTCGCCTGGACGTGTCCGTGTCATCTTCAGCTCCTGAGGTGTGTTCCAGGAAAATACTGTTTGGGGCTCACAAGTTATGCGCGTATGACACAGATGATGGAAGGAATGGTGTTTGTGGGTGTTGGGAGTTCTCTATTTTTGAGTCTATATCTACAGGAGAGAACAGCGGATGAGCCCACTTTGAATAAGAGAGTCTTCATCTAGTGAATGAAACTTTTAGAAGCTGCGGTGAAGCTTCATGGAGCATGCTAGCCTGACGAATGAAGAGGCTGTTGAAGTCTGACCAAAATTGCGTACAATACAATGGTATAATAAAGCCCGTAATTGGGCAGTGAAGAAGCTTGAATCGGTCTCTCTCGGACGTTTCTCATCTCGAATTCGGATGGTTTGATCATGCGAGGAAATGATGGAGTGAATAACGCCAAATCCCATGCAGAGGTAGAAAGAAGGCTGGCCTTCAACTCCAAAGGCGTGCTGTTGTCAAGCTCCAAAAAGACAACTCGACAAAACGCCGTCCCAGATGCGTTTTCATGCGGCTCGCATGGGTCGCAAAACTGTAACCGATTACTCCGCGCTGTTCGAATGGTCGGCCTGCCAGCCTGATATGGTAACAATGAGTATGGAAACTCCATCCGGTGTAACGCCCATGCTAAGCACAGGAGATTCCAACAAGGTTGGGGCGAAGACGTGCAAGGCTCCAAATGTTCTCCTCTTGATGTCTTCCCAACAATCATAATTTCGTAAGAGGAACCCTCTTGTCCATGCTCAAAACTTGTCCTCTGCAAAACCCGGGGGATGCAGTCCCAACCCTCCTCTTGCATGTGTACTCCTAGGATCCCACTCCACCTGGGTGGCAGTCCGAGAAAGAGGTCGTGGTGCCGAAAAGCTTTGTTCCGGACTCCGGTACTGCCGTTGAGCCTCTTTGTTGAAGTAGTCTGGAGTCCCGGGACGGAAATGGTCGTAATCCATGCCAGCGCTAGGGCTGGTGATGGCGCTTTCAGGTGACTTCAAGGGTCCCATGTCGAAGTTCTTCAGTTCGTAATTTCGCGGGTTCTCTGCGTTGTGCTTTGCATCTAGGGAGACGAATTCGCGGTTTTTATTGACTTTCGTTTTGAAGAAATCAACCCATGCGCTGAACATGGACCGACGGACCAGTAAGAAGAAGCATTGGAGACCAGCAATCTACTCAGGTCAGCGCAGTCATGGCAAGGTTGACGTGTGTTTGACTTACGGAGAGCATCATGAGCACCGCAATGACCGTTTTCTGATCGACGGCCATATCTTGCCCGATATCAAAGCAGGGATCGAGGTTGTCAGTATGAGCAATCAAACAAAATAGAAACGGCTTGATCGAATCAATATCATCCAAGGCGTGTGTGGTGGTTGAGTTCAGCCAGACGAAGACAATTGAAAAGAAGATGACATCGACAAGGATAAAAACGACGATGGTTATTCCTCTCCACTGCAGCCAGAGCACCTTGCTGACTCGTCGGTAGACCGCACGTGCGGAGCGCGTTCGCACGCTAGTCGTATAAGAAGGAAGGCCTGAGCTGCTTTGAGTCTCGGTCTTGTCCTCGCTCCACATGTTCTGGAGGTAGACCTTGATACAGTACACAAAACTATAGGATGTGTTAGTGTTATGTCTGCATATATCGACAGCTGTACTAACGTTGCTATCTGTATGAGCATGGCCGCCCCGGAGATGGCCAACAAAGGGCCCCAGATGTCTGACATCGAGTGCGCAGCATTGACGTGGCAAACATCGCCGAATCTGAAGGACACTCCAGTGATGGTGATTGTAACGGTGAAGAATCCGGCAGCGACCGACCAGCCCAAGCCTTGTGCCCAGTAGAAGAATTTCTTTCCGGGGGTGACATCCCAGCAGATCTGGAGATGCATGGACAGGGCACGGATGAAGACTGTGCATTGATCAGGACGACAATTGCCAACAAAGGATGCAGGACTACTCACTCCATACGGCTATCGACAACCCTCCCGCAATGAGAAAAGCGCCCGAGAAAGCACATGTCAAACTGGAGTACATGTCGTTGGGTGTGATCTCGTCGTAACACTGGTCAGGCTTCGCCCCAAATGGTATCACAAAACCGAGCTATTGAGCGTAAGCAGGTGGAAATGAAGGTAATACAGTGACTACTTACTGCCATCCAGATTGCAGCAATGATCAGGCAGTAGCTCAGATAGTGTCGCCGTGTCTTATCGGCCGGAAGGAATGTGTATGAGGCCAACAGAAAGACCAAGCAAATCAGGCCAGCCACATTGAGTGCTTCTGCTACTCTGAGCCAAGTCTTGAAGTCTAGGAAAGGTCAGCGGAGTGTACCTAGAGTACAAGGCAACCAATACTGACCAGCAGGATAGACATAATCTGTCATTGGGCATGGCAAGCAGCAAGTCAAGCCCTCCCTAATGTTGTTCACTGGCGCACACCATCTTCCATCAATGACTAGACGAATTAGCGGCGGTCTACAAGTAAATCCAGAAGACATACAGCCGTCGAGACCAAACTGTGACACATCATAGAAAGGTGCAGGGCAATACCCTCGAAGTGGTTCTGTCAGTGTTGTGTTTGCCATCTTCGCAAGAGTCCAGGCAATATCCGTTCGATCGTTTCAAGATACGGTAGACACGCGCAGCATGTCAGTCCGTCCAGAGTTGTTCTTCGCCCTCCTGTAATGTGGCAGTGTATCTCAATGGCCGAAGAGTGGATAGCGAGCGAGAAATTTCTAAGTCCAGTGGAAAGTAATGGTTGTAAGAGAACAGTTGGAGTGCGGTGTTAACGATGGCGCCAGGTTATGTCGAAAGCAAGAGTATTGACCGAGAGGAAGTCTAACGTTATGTCGCGTAGGGCAGGCCAAACGGATAGGTAATGCCGCAGCTGTCAGCCCAAACACGAGACGGAGGTATGGCACCGTAAAGAAGAGAATAAAGTTATGGTAGGTATTAGAGGCACGCGAGGCCAAAAAGAGAGAATAGTGAGCAGCGGGACGTTGAAAGGTAAAATAGGAAACTCATTGCGGCACAGATTCTTGGGCTGCAGAAAGCCCAGGACGACGACCGGGTCTTGATGGTGCTCCCTGGTTCGGGCCACCAACCTGGTGGTCCTAGGATGAGTGGCATGACGATCCGAAGGCGTATTCATCCCTGTGCTCCTTCGCCCTAGTGTAGCGTACATGCGACTCCGACAAGCTAACTGGGCCAAGACATTATGGATGCATGTAACAGCGGCCAGGATAACGACGGTGGCGTAGCTGGATAAGGAAGGCACAAGTGGGGCCCAGGAACAAGAGTCGTCTGCGAGTCGGTATTGGCCAACGTCTTTAAGGAATATGCAACGTCTATGCGTTGTGATTCGCGAGACTTTCGAGGTCCTTCGCGCTGCAATCCACGAGGCAAAAGGCACGACATCCGGAAGCGCTGTCAAGCGCGCAGTAAGTGTTGACGCGGTGCAGGATTGCGGTAGGCATTTCCCCGCCATACTACCAAGTATAACGATTGACACGAAGAAGGGAAGTGATTTCGTGCAACAACACCGATGATACCGCACGCGAGCCTGAATATCTCCTGTAGCCGGATATGTCGAATTGACGAGACTGCTGCTTGGCGCACGCGGCATGGGTCACTTCTGACAGATCTGGTTCGCCGTGAGCATTAAGATCCTGGCAATGTGTAGATGCACACACATTACCGAATCCTGGTACGATGATGTGGGAGGCGAGCCATGCCCATGGTCGTGAGAATATCGTGTTCCTGGCAATGACTGGCTTAGAGATTTGCATTGAGCGGCAACATCCCGCACGCAGCTCCCGCAGGGCCCCAATGATTGACTTGATCCGACATCAAGGTCGCGTGGCTCAGCCGACAGTCGGGCCTCTGAATCAGGCACGGCCTGCGATGAGCATGCAACTGCGTCGATCAAGTTAGTCGGTAATCATACGTATCCATTACGAGCATCCTGCCATCCAGCCTGGTCGGCCTTCTCCGACGCAACAAAACATCCCAGGCTGTACATCGCTGCTTCAGTTGTAGCGGGATTATCCCGACAGGTGCTGATGATGCTTCCGTGGCACAGTTAGCATTTGCCTTCATGCAACGACTGTTATCTTCGAAACTCCTCACATGCGTGCGTGGTTTAGCACATGCATTGACGCGTAAGAGGTACCCTCTACGACGGATCGTGAAGTGTTTCAACAGGACATGCCTGGCGAGCTGAGAACATGGCTACGCGAACGTCATTCAGATTAGTCACTCCGGCGGTAAATCATTTCTCCGCAGCAACACCTATCCTGAAAGCCTGCTGCTTACTATCGCATCGGCAGTTCTCTGTCTCACACTGTTGATCGGCTTGAAGTTTCCTTTGTTCCCAGCATTGTCACATCTCCACAACGGACTTGGGCATTCACTCGCTTGACTCTAGCTGTTATCTACCTAGTCTCGATCTTCATTTCTCATCGCCTGTGTGAAGGACGATACCCTAGCAGGATCGCGCCAGCGGGGTTCCTGCATTCGTCGGATGCAAGTTCCAATGTGCTTGTATGCTCGCTAACAAGCGCATGAACATCCAGGAGCCAATGCGACGTGAATGCCACTGCAGGTATAATTGGTGGACGTTCACGCAGCGAGACAGAACACTCAACCGAATGACGCACCTCGTTGCGGCATGAACTTTGGTAGAGCTCTCCATCCACATCGCTGAAGCGCACAGTGCAGGGATCAACCGCAGCGCTGCCTTCTTCGACCCGAGAGAAACATCGTAAACAGACTATTTGTCAAGGGCACGCTACTATCCGTCACAATGCGCCATAGAGGGTCCGATTTCTCGATCGCGCTTCAAGCCGGGTGGCTATCAGTAGCTGTACGCTCGGCCCGCGGGTTTCTGTTCTAGAATCCGAGGTCACGAACTTACCAGGAGAGTGCTCGACCATTGCGAATATCCCAAACTATCGCATACCTGCAACCGATTATTACAGTACATCAACAAGCAACCCCTTTGTGAAAAAGTCAAAGATCTTCTCGCTCGCGTACTGCTCGAAAGATTCCCCGGAGTATTTAGTTTGGGTATTTCAGCCCAGGCTTGGGAAGCCCGTCGACTCTCGAACAGCCCTCACATCTGTCTCAGTCATGACTCCTCCATATGGATGGGAGGGCGAGAAACCCCTTTCAGGCTCCGCGATCGACATAGAGTGTATTGGAAGTATATGGTCTGAGATTTTGTGACTGCCAGGAATGCAGGTACTCGAGTTGCGCACTATGCAAGACGGTAACCGAACTGACAGCGTCGATGTCTGGTTCCCATGCTTCCGTCATGACAAGAAACAAAAGGTCGAATTATCGTTCTGGCATTATATCATCGCTTCCCAGATTGTACATCCAGTACTCAATCGCAGGTCTTGACTAGTTCATAGAGACTCACTTTCAGAAGATCGAGATCTCAACATCTCGACTCTCGAGTCTCCACGCTTATGCAGACACAGCACATCACAACGCAAGGCATCTACAGTCAGTCACAAAGTCGGTTGTCGGTTTCTTTATGACTCCACATCTCACCTTGTCCTCATTAGGACCGCACCGAGACAACTACTGCCTCAACAACGCCATAGTCTACCGTTTCACAAATACGAGCTCGCCGCTTACGCTGGCGCAACAACGTGCCTCAGGACTAAACGAAGCCCTGTTCGGAAGTACCCGATGCTTCTTTTTTCACGCCATCCCACGCATTATACGCGAACGTCTCTTAGCACACGAAGTCTAACGAACAGACAATTTCGCACTCGCTGACCCATGTGGCCAAACTTCGTGCAAAACTAGGCAAGCCACTACTGCACAGCATCAACGCCATGCCAATTTTATAAACGGCTGCTAGATATGGAAGTCTGCCCCGTTGATACGGCGCAATACAATCGTCGTGCGGCGTGGACATCGCTTCAGCCCAACCTCCAGAACTATTGGAAATGTCACCATGTCGAGTCAAGAAGCGCTGACGACAATCAGTGGAACTGACAGTGTGGACGTGTCGTGCTGAAACGGAGAGTGTATCGAGGGTGCCTGGAGCTAAGTTAGCGACGGAGGTAGGTCTCCGCCCCGAGACACCGGGTCAGCACGTGAGCGGCATGCTCTCCGGATTGCGAAATTACCATGACAATTGGACGGGCTCGCCCTCCATCCACACTATTTTGGGGCAAGATTAGCGTGGTGAGCTTTTCGTCTGGGGTTACCGCACGTGAGTCTGGTCGGTGTGCGATCGGCAGGAAGGACTAAGCCGATGTCGAAAACTTGAACGGCTTTCACCGTGTGTGTTTCTGAGTGTTATGCAGGAACAACGATAGTGTGCTGAGCGACACAACTTCATGCTTCTTTCATCGGGACCGGTTTCGAAACATGAACACCTCATTGCGTCCTTTTAACTCACGAATATACTCCTGGGTAGTAAAACTATTGACTACGATGTCAAATATTACACAAACCCTTGGACGGCTATCTCGATACAGAGAGCCCTTGCACACTAGAATCGACAGGAACCCAGTCTTCGTCGACATACTGAATCGCGAAACGTTTATTGAACAATAATCGTAGTAAGATCGCCCATGTACTCCCGCAGGATACCTAAACACCCCAGTATCACCGGAGTAGACATGTGCATTCACCCTGATGAAGCCAGACGTCTAAGCATAGTATTTACACGGGTGCAACATGTTGCCTTCGCCGAACACGAGCTTCAGATTTCCATCAGTAACTTTTGTAAAACGTAGTATGTAGTGTAAAAGTTATAGAATTACTATAGAGGAGGCGCGAGCTCTATAGCTCGCGCGCTAGTCTTAAACTAGTAATACAAACTAGGGAATTACCTCTTCTAACAGTCCCCTTTCTATAGGATACACATATATAGTAATAGAATATTTACCTTCTATAAGGATTTAATAGCCCTAGTTACTTTAAAATACCTACTAAGGTAGGTCTAGGTAGTACTTTAGTACAGACGTTAGCTAGGTTAGATACTAAAAGAATATATTAGATATTAAAGTCTTCTAAAAGATATTACTCTCTTATAAAGTAAAAATAAATACTAATATATTTTAAGTAAACGTTAATTTAATAATTCTTAATAAGAGTAATAGCTAGTTAACTATTAGTAATAAGAGTAAAGTAGAGTTTAAGTTTTAAAGAGAGTAACTTAATATTAGAAAGTTCTTAGATAACTTATTTAGCCTAGAGGAAGTAAGTAGTAGAATATAAATATACTATATATTTAGCCTTATAGGTACTCTTTACTATACAGGATTATTATTTAGCTAACTAGGATATAGTAGACCTATTTAATTAGAGAATATATCTACTAAAAGACTTAAAGGTATCTAGATTAGAACCTTAGGATATATTAAAGAATATATTAACTAATACTTAGTAAGAAGTATGCTAAAATTCTAGAATATATTAATATATATATTAAATGTACTAAAGAACTTAAAGAGCTAGTTTAAAATACTTTAATAAGAAATTAAAATTAAAAGTTCCTAGTATACTAACTATAAATACTAAATTAGGTCTAGTACTAATAACTAGATAATTTAGTAAGCTAACTAATTATTAAAAGCGTTATCTAAGATCTTTATTTACTAAATTCTTATTATAGTTAGAGAAGGAGTTAGTGTTAAGTAGAGTTTACCTACTATTATATTAGCCTATATTAAATCTATTTAGGATTTAAAGAGTATATTACTTCTAGCTTAGAGATATAAGGTATAGTTATATATTAATTTTAAGTCTTAGTAGATAATAGGCTTAACTTAGGTCTTTATACTTAAGGTTCTTAGAAATAGTATTCTTAAAGTATTAAATTTTAGAAATAGAGCTAATAAAGAGAAGGTTATTAACGTAGATAGTAATAGCTATATACTTAATAAAGATATAGAAATTAGAATTAAGTTAGAAGTATCTATCTAAAAAAAGGTAGTTTTAGAGTATACTAAACTATTCTCTTTTTAACTATTTAAAGCTATAGAGAGTTTTTCTAAGCCTTAGAATTTTACTAGTTTAGAGAAAGTTCTTAAGAGGTTAATATATATATAGCTTCTCTATTAGGTTACTATTAAGGTATATAGTATTAAAATTAATTTAATAAATTTTATAACTATGCTAGGCTCTCTACTATAGTAGTAGATAGAGGCTATTATAGTGTATAATAAGAGAATAAGTCTTAGTAAAATCTTAGCTTTAAACTTATAAGAAGCCTTAAGCTATAAGTTAAGCTTTAAATTAAATAATATTTCTAGATATATTACGCTTAATAGTAAATACCTATTAGGAACCTATAATATATTTAGATTCTAAAGCTTTAACTTTAGTCTATATTCTATTCTTTATATAGGATCTAAGCTTAGTTTTAATTACTTTTTTTTATTAGAGCTATTTATAGAATTACTAAGCTTCTATTAGAAAATTTAGAATATTATTCTTAAAGTCTTATACTATAAATATAAAGGCGTTTACTTTATTAGTAAATAAGGTAGTAGTATTACTTATAGCTTTATGTATAGGCTTTACTGTCTAGCTAAATCTTATAGTAGTAGGTATAGATATAGAAGAAGTTAATATATCTAGTACCTTCCTAGCAGTTTATAGAGAAGTAATACTATATTAAACTAGAAACCTTTAAGAAAGTATAGGCGTAGGCCTTAATATTATTTATTTTACTAGTATATATAGAGTTTTAGGAATTAATACCTTAATATCTCTACTATCTCTAAGAGATTCTAATTTTATAGGAATAGGTAGTATTAATTTATTACTAGAGTTAATTATAGAAACCTTAAAAGATAGAGAGTAGAATACTAGGAACCTTATATCCTTAAACTCTAAGATAACGTATTTAGAGAAAATATAGACTTAATAGATTTTAGAAGACTTTCTATACCCTATAAAGATTTCTAGCTTTAAGTAATATATAAGTTTAGTTTCTAAGGCTCTAGCTTTAGATAGGATGTAGATATAGACTTCTAAGCTAAAGGAGTAAAGGTACTTAATTTCTAGCTTACTTCTAGAAAGAGTATTATATAAAGTCTTCTTAACTAAAAAGTAGAAGTAGAAAGTAATATTCTTTAGAAAAGTAGTAGTGTATATTACTTTAGCCTAAAGCTTAAGATTAGAATTAGCTAAAATTATAGTTTAGGTTATAGTAATAATTATATAGTTAAATTACTTAGTAGTACTATTACTTTTATAATAGTAAAGTAGCACCTTACTATAAATAATACTAGATTTCTAAAAGTAGATCTAGAGTTTATTTACTATATACTTACCTCTATTATTAGAATAGAAGGTTTTAACTTAGGCAGTAAATTAGCGTTCTAGGTAAGTAATAAAATCTATAATTATTTAGGCAGTATTAGACTTTTTCTTAAGAAAGTAGATTTAAGTAAAGTAAGTCTTTTTATTAATAAAGAAGATAAAATACTAGGCCTCTTTAATAGATAGAGTAGAAAACTTTCCTAAAAGGTCTAAATATATATATTCTAACCTTAAGGTACTATTTACTAGGAGGGGTTTAGGCTTTATATAGACTAACTTAGATATTAGGCAGAGTTTATAGGTAAAATCTAAGGGCTTGCTTAGGATTATATTAGTGTTAATATATAGTTATATAGGATTTCTAGGGACGTAGAAATAGCTAATAGTATAGTAGAATTCCTAGTATAAGGCAAAATTTATAGATAGTAAGTTAAAATCTATAGTTTAGATTTCTATTACACTTCTAGAGTATTTTGCCTATATAGAATATAAGCTATTAGACTGTATAAGAAAGAGGTTATCTCCTTAAGCTTAGATATTATACCTCTTATTATAAATATAAGGCTAGTTAAATAGTTAGGTCTACTAAAGTTCCTTACTATAAAGGATATTTATTAGTTCTATTATGTATATTAATCTATTAGGTAGTTAATAAGAAAGGTAAACTGTTTCTTAGCTATTAATTAGAAGCTTCTATTGTCTAGCTATTATAATAATACTCTACTAGAGAAGTAGAGTAGTAAAATTATTAAGATTACTAGATATATATTATAAAGTACTAGAATTAAATAGCTATTAGGAGGAAGCTAAGAAGGTACTTAGTTAAGATAAGAATACTACTTTAGTAATAGTAGGAGATAAAGAAATAGTATCTATACTAACCTATTATAATTATTTTCTAAATTTATTTATTACTAAGGCTAAGAAGGCGTTTACCTTAGAGCTAGAGTTATTATTATTAGAGATTACTACAAAATTAGCTTTAGTGTAAGAGAGTTTTAGTTATTTAGTATTAGATTTCTTAGCTTATTTAGTGTAGAAGTCTTAGTATTTCTTAAGCTTTTAGTAGTCCTTGTATAGGTAGCTAATAAAGGTAAAATTTTATTTTCTGTACTATATATACTTAACTAGTAATATCTAAGTTATAGATATTAGAGCTCTAGTATTAGAAGGTCTAGGCTAAGGTTTAGAAGCTTAATTGCATAAGGTAGTATTAATAGAGTAGGCTAAGAAATTAGTAATATTAATACTATACTTCTTAGCTAGATTAAGTATCTTAGGTTTAATCTTAGTAAATAAGGTAATATTTCTAGTTAAGAGATTATTAATAATGTAATCTATAGTATCTAGTAAGGTAATTAGAAAGAAGAAGCCCTTAACCTTATTACTTTTAAATATAGTACTTATAGCTTTTACTATAGTTTATATAGAGGTTAAACACCTTTTAGCTATATATATCTATATTTAGTAGAAGTTATTAAGATAGTAAGTAAGGTTATTCCTATTATTATAGTAGAGATTTATAAGGGCTCTAAAGAAGTAGATACTTATAGTACCTATATTATAGTTAAAGTAGGTAAATAGGTATAAGAAACTAACTCTAAGAGTAGTTACTAGTATAAATTAGATAAATTTACTAAAGATCTATAGTACTAGCTTTTCTCTACTTATAGTCCTTCTAGTAGCGTACTAGCTGTTTCTAGTAGGCTAGCTAAGAGTAGGTATTAGTAGTTAGAGTTACTAAGCTCTAAGGCTTTACTTACTAAAGTTCTACTAGGCCTAGCCTATTATATAAGCTTCTTTCTAGTAAAAAAATTATTTATATTTTTACTTTACTATAATATAATATATTAACCTACCTTTATACGTAATTTTTACTGCAGCTACGCTAACTTTACTAGCCTTAACTTCTACTTTACTTACTACTATAATAGTAGGTCTACCTAAGAAGCTTATATTATTTTTTAAGTTCTTTTCTATAGCTACTAGCTCTCTAAAGAAGTTTCTAGTAAAGAAGTAAACTTATTCTACTACTAAAAGTAATAAAAAGGCTTTACCTTTACCTATAAGTTTATTTAGTCTGTTAAATTTACTCTTCTTTTTACTAACTTCTTATTTTATTAGTTTTATATTCTACTACTTACTTATCTATTACTACTAGTACTGTTTCTACTTCTACTTCTACCTCTATTACTAAGAGCTACTAGCCTCTTTAGCTACCTATCTACTTAGGCTACACTTACTATCTTTTAGAAAATAGAGAAACCTATATCTTTAAAAAGAGTAGGTAGTTCTATAATTACTATTTTTAAGAGTAGTACACTACTTATTATAAGGTAAGTAATATTTATCTTTACTTAAGTACTACTAGTTAACTCTTAGGTAAGTTTTTAATTAGCTTAAGGCTAAAGTTATCTTTTTCTATAGTTTCTTTTTTATTCTTTATTAGGAAAAGTAGAGTTATAGAATCTATAGGACAGTCTTTATAACTATCCTAAGTAGTGCCTAATAGTGCTTTATATACGTTCTATTATCCTAATACTATATAGACTGTTTCTAGTTATCCCTAATAGTTCTATTACTTCTAACTAATTTATATTTTAGAAGTTCTTCTACGTCTAGTTTTATACTTATTAAGGGCCTACCTACGTTATAGATTATAAAAGTTATTATTTAGGCTCTAGATAGACTTTTTCTTAATAGTTTTATCTTTCTATTTTGTATTAGACTTTTATGCGCCTTTTAGCTCTTTTAGAAAGTATATTAAGGTATTTATTATATAATTAACTAACGTTTAAATTAGCCCTATTCTAGCTAGTATCTTATAGTATAATAAAAGGTATATATATATATATTACTTATGTATATAGTTTAGAGGTTCTTTCTTTATATAAATAAAAGCTTTATAATAATATTATAAGTTATTATAGTGTTTAAGGTACGTAAAGTATATACTAGTTCTTTACTATATATAACTATCTAGCTACGTACTATAACTTAACTACTACTATTATATTATCTAGAGAATAATAAATATAAATATAATTATAAAAAGTAAGTAGTAAAGCTTAATTTTATTAAGCTAAGATATATTACTAGAAATTTATATATATAAATATTTCTAAAGTAAATATTTAAATCTTATATATTGCATTATAAGTTTTCTTAATACGTATAGAATTTACTAAAGCCTTAACTCTCTACTAGCCTTATTTATTAGTAGATACTACTAGTACTTACTACTAAGAGTATACTGCTTATAACTATAGTTAATTTATATTTACTTTCTTTTCTTACTTAACTAGTTCTTATATAGAACCTTTCTTACTCTCTTTCTTAATAATATTTCTCTTTATTTTTATCTTTATAACTTACTTCTTAAAGATTTAGAGCTCTATATCTAACTCTTAGTTATAAAGTATAAGGCTAAGGTATATTTTAGATAGCTATCTAAGTTAAAAGATTTAGTATAAAAACTAATCTTAGATAGATTACTAGGTAAGTAGTTCTATAATTACTAAAGTGTTTACCTTTATAAATATAACTACCTTAGTAAAGGTAAGTATAGAAGTAACTATAATATAGTAGTTATTATACCTTTATTAGTGCCTAATACTTAGAACGTTTTCCTTTATATTTCTACTAGGTAGGTAGACTATAGTATTACTGCTATACTTCTACTAGAGAGCTAAGGTAAGAGTAGATATAATAATAGGCGTAACTACCTATTAGTTTAGTTAGTAGATTCCTTTCTTCTATTAGTAGATTCTTTTCTTTTATTAGCAGATTCCTTTCTTTAGTTAGTAGATTCTTTTCTTCTATTAGTAAATTCCTTTCTTTAGTTAGTAGATTCTTTTCTTTAGTTAGTAGATTTTAGTATACAGCCTTATTATATAGTTTAATTTTACTAATTAATATAACTATTATAAACTAGAACTATGCGTCTTTAATAGTCTTTCTCTAGTATACTATAGATGTTAGCTAGTAGGCAGTTATATAATTTTTATCTACTAATAAATTCTTAATACCTTTAAAGCTTACTATCTTCTAGGTTCTACGTAATATAAACTACTTATAAATTTTAATAGTATACTATATAATCTTGTTTATATTCTTATCTTTTATAGCCTAGGATATTTAAGCCTGCTTTTTACTTAGCTTAGTTCTACTTATTAAATTCTACTACTTAACTATCTATATTCTACTATATAAGATTATACTATCCTTAGATACTTTAAACTCCTTAGTAATCTTTAAAAAGATAAAGTTATAGAACTAGTATTTTTATATTTTACTAGCTTCTAATAAAACTACCTTTTACTAGTTACCTATAGGCTAAGGTAAATTTCTAAGGCTAATAAGTATATAGTAGATAAAAGTAAGAGCCTTTACTACACTATTTTAAAATAGTATTTTAGATAAGGCCTATAATCTCTACTAGTACCTATAATTATAATATCTTATATACTAGTACGTATTAAAGAAGAGTATTAATAGGTTCTTAGTATTATAAGATTTACTATAGACTATATACCTTAATATATTTTAGTTCCTAGAAGCTATATTCTTTTAGTATTATTAAAGGTAATTATAATAGTAGTTTTTCTTAAAAACTAGAAGATCTTAGACTTATACTTATAACTAAATATACTACCTTATAGAACAGTATATATAGACTAAGAAGACCTTTATAGATAATAGTAATAGGTAGTAATAAGCAGTTAGAAATATCTAATACCTAACTACCTACTACTACTAATAGGTCTTCTTTTATAAGATTATTATATAATTTACTATATAATATATATAGATTTTAAAGTTTAGATTATCTCTATTTAAGCCTTCTTATATATTACTAATATTTATATTAACTATAGCTTCCTTTATCTTAGCGTATATAAGACTCTTTATATAGAGTAGTATTATAATTACTAAATATAGTTTTTTAGTAGAAGTAAAACTGTATAGAAAATTTATAATTAGAGTTTACTTAGAATATTCTTTTAAATATTATAATAGCTTCTGTCTACTACGCCTCTATAAAAGTTATAGCTCTAGTAATAAGAGTTATTACTAATTAAGGTATTTAGCTAAGAGATATAATACTAGCTTTATAGTACTATCTAGATATAAACTCTAATCTTATTTTTAGTAAATATAGGTAAGAATTCTTACTTCTTAGGTAATTATATATACTAGGAGTTAAGTCTTATCTATAATTAATATTGTTTTAGAAGAAAGCGTAGCCTATAATAAGTAGTAATAAAAGGCGTTATATCTTACTAGAATAAGTAATATCTCTGTAAATCCTTACTTTAAAGGTAGTAGAATAGAGGCAGTTTCTCTAAGCTTTAATATATAGATTTTAAAGAAGTTTATAGTGTTATTATAATCTATATTATAGTAGTACTCTATATATTACCTAGCCTTATAGTTAACGCGCTTTCTTAAAGTCTATTTAAGTTATTAGAATTATAACTAGTTTATTACTATTAAGTACCTTAAATATACTGTTAATTTAGAGCTTCTTACTTAATATTCTTCTTTATTAATTTAAGCTCCTACTCTATATCTATATCTATATTAATATTATTTTTTACCTCTAAGTTACTATCTACTTTGTACTTTTCTGTTAGGATTATAGAGCCTAGGTTATAAATATTAGGTAGCTTTTTATACTTATTAGATAGGTTTCTAATAAGTAGTAGAGAGCTTTTAGGTAGTAAAGAGCTTTTAGGTAACTATATTCTTTTAAGTAAAGAGAGTAGTTAATATACTTTCTTAGAAACTAGTCTAGTAAAAACCTTCTTACTTAAGCTATTAACTTATAGTGCTTTTCTATAGGTATTTTCTTTCTAAGTAAAAAGTAAGGTCTTTTTTTCTTTTCTTTTAGCTAGTTTTAGAGAATATACCCTTTAAACGTAGATAGTTAGATATAGTAATAGATAGCTGCTAACTATAGCGCTATTAATAATTACTCTTCTACTTCTAACCTATAAGCTTATATCTTCTACTAGCTATACTATTAAGGTAGTTCTATAGTCTATAAAGATATCTTTTGTATAGTAGAACTATCTCTTTATAATTTATATTAAATTATAGTATATTATAGTTACTTTTAGATTAGAATAGTAGGTTCTAATAGTTTATATTATTTATATTACTACCTATATTAGTATCCTTATTAAAAAGGTCTTTACTAAGATTTATATCTTTTAAACGTATAAAGTTCTTAGGCTGTTATATAAGTATTTAATTATAACCTTAGGTACGTAACAGTATTAAAGTAGCTCTTACTAGTAATTATTTAGGTAATATCTTATAATATTTTAAGTTAGGTAGTTAAAAATTATTAAGTTTAGAGACTTTTTAGTTAGTAAGGTCCTAAAACTATTATTTAGGTTAGTAGTAAAGTTAAAAAATTACTTATAGTAATATTAAAACTTCTAAGTAGTATATTTTAGTATCTTATACCTTTACCTTTCTTTTAGGTAAGAAGCTAGGATAGTATTACAGCTTTATATAAGTTATTACTAAGCAGCAGTATAGAGGTCTATCTTACTCTTAATTAGTAAGTTATCTAGTACGTTTCTTACCTTAGGTCTTCCTACTATATTATTTAAGTTCTTTTTTTTTATAATATAATTATAAATAGTATTAAAACTAAGCTACTCTAGTTTAACTTCCTTAGCTACCTTAACGCTTACCTTTTTACTTTTAAGAACTAGTAATTAAGCTAATAACTTAAATAGTTCTAGGCTAAGTATATTAATCTATATAGTAATTAAATCTATATATAGTAGAATTTAATAATTTTGTAGAACGTATATTAGTAGAGGTAGAAGGGTTAATAGGTAAGTACTATAGTTATAGTTAGAGTTAGCAGTATTAAACAGTTACTATAGAATTAAATTATAAGTTATTTAAATTAGTAAGGCAGAATGTACCTTAAATTACTAAGAAATTTTAAATTCTATTTAGAATTATAGTTTACTTTTAAGTTAAGGTTTATACTTATATTCTTTTATAATAAATAATCTTTATATTATACTATATATAACCTAGGTCTATTCTTTTAGTAAGGCTAGTTCTATAAGTGTATATAGTATTATATTATTACTCTATTTCTTAAAAATTTTGCTATAGAATGTCTTTAACCTATTACTCTACTTCCTTCTCTCTTTAGAATTCTAAAAGTTAGGGTTTACCTATATATACTCTATAATATTACGTATAACCTTATTCTATTAGGTTAAAGTAATGCCTAGGCCTTCTAAAGCTTCTAGTATATTTAATATATAGTTATTAGCTTTCTTTACTATATTACTATAATATTTATAATATTTTAGCAGCGTCTAGTTAGTATAATAAAGGGCTTATCTAGCTAAGGCCTTTTTACTTTTAGTTATATAGCTTTATAAAGTTAGGTTACTATAAGAAAAATATAAAAGAAAGTATATTAGTAAATAAATTATATAGCTTAGTAGGGAAATAGGTAAATACTACTATTATCTCTGTTATTATAGTAATTATCTCTAGTTTTACTTAAAGAGGTATCTAGTATAGCTGTAATAGGCTTATTCTAGTTATATACTAGTAGTATTTAAGAAAAGGTATTTACCTTATCCTAATTTATTAAGAGTACGTGTATATATTATATATATAGTTAAGGTAATAGTAGCAGCTATTATATTATAAGAAATATAAAGTAATTAAAGTTCTTATAGTTAAAAAGTAGTAATTAGGTTATCTACTTATAGGCTATTAATATACTTTTACGTAGATAACTGTACTTTTACGTAGATAACTATACTTTCTACTAAGGCCTAGTATACTCTATACCTATATATTATCTAAATAATTACCTAGAATTCTAGGTAACTTATACTAGTACTAGTGTATTATATACTTTATAACTTATAAGTTACTACTTTATAAGAATTAATACTAGAGAAAGTAACTTTAATATATAAGATAAGAACTTTTATAATTACTAAATATATACTATTTTCTTTCTAGCCTTAACTAAATTATATATTCTAGTATAGTACCTAATAGATTAAACGCTATATTAAGGCTATATTACTATAAGTAAACTTATTATAGGTAGTTTAAAAGATAACCTTATACTAATTAATAATAAAGAAGCTCTTACCTAACCTAAATATACTAGGCTAAAAAATAATACTATTAGAGTTATATCTAGTAGTAAAGAGTATAATAATTAGGTTTCTACTATAGTTAAGTAAGTACTTAGTAGTAGTGTTATTACTTAAGTAACCTACTATACTAGTATAATATAGAAGAAGAGTTATAAAGACTATATAGCTACGCTTAATACTAGTTTAGAGATCTATAATAATATAGTAGTTATAATTTATAGCTAGGACGCTATTTAGACTGCGTAGAGTATTAAAAGTAGAGATATTATAGTAGTATATATTAGATAGGAAGAAGTAAGTCCTAACTAGAACAGCTTAAAGTTACTATTAGAAATATACTAAAGTTCTAAAGGTACTAGGTGTTAGTAGTATAGCTATATCTAAACTAACTTTGTTTAGAGCTATAAGAGAACCTACTTTATTATTATTATAGGTAAATACGCAGTTAGAAGAGATTAGTTAGTAGCTATTAATATAGTTATCCTATAAACTATAATTAGTATTAATACTAAAAGTATAAGGTTAAATTAGAGTTAGCTTATAGAGTAAGGTATATAAGATATATAGTAGATACTATTATATAAGAGGTAGTAGTAGAGTGTCCTATACCTATTACTATAAGTAGGGATATAATTAGGACTAGTATAGGTATAGAGGTAGGTAGTAATAGACTAGTTACTATTTAGGTAGAATATAGAGACTAGAGGTAGTAGAGGTAGTATCTAAAAAGCTTATAAATTAATTAGTATAAGAGAAATAGAATAAAATACTAGTAGTAAAGTATAGTAAATATAATATAAGAAAAATAGCAGCACAAAAAGTAAGATTATATATACCTATAAGCAGCATTTATTTAGGCTATTCTGCTAGTCCTACTAACTATTATAAATTCTACTTTAATATAAGAGGCCCTAGAGTTCTTAATTATTTATAAATAGACTAGCGTTTATAGTAGTTTATTAATAATTATCTAGTTTACTACGTTAATTATATATAACTAACTATACTATTTATACTCTTATAAAATATACGTGTTATAAATTTCTATATTCTTATTTAACGTAAGGTACTGTGTATAACTACTAGGATAGTTCTTAGTAATAGTTAGATATAGTTATTAGTAATAATTAACTTATGTTAACTAGCTAGAATATTATAGTTATTAATATAGCTAAATAAGCTAGCTTTACGTTATTATATACTTATATAATATAGACTACTATAGGAGTTTCTAAGATTTATACTTTATATTTCTAGTAGACTATAACTAGTATTACTTAAGACTTTCTTTTCTAGCTATTTAATAGCTTATATTGTAATTTTCTATACTACGTAACTATTCTTACTAGCCCTAGCCCTTTAACTACTCTATTTACTAGTAAATACTATCTACTATTAATAGTATATTACTGCTAACTCTAGCCTAATTAATATCTTTCTTTTCTTTTAACTTAACTAGTTCTTACGTAGAACTATTCTTACTTCCTTCTTTAATAATATTTCTTCTTAACTTTATCTTTATAGCTTACTTATTAAGTATTTAGAGCTCTACGTCTAACTCCTAGTTATAGAGTATAAGGCTAAGGTATATTCTAAATAGCTATCTAAGTTAGAAGATTTAGCATAAAAACTAATCCTAGATAGATTACTAGGTAAGTAGTTCTATAATTATTAAAGTATTTACCTCTATAAACATAACTACCTTAGTAAAGGTAAGTACTAAAGTAACTATAATATAGTAGTTATTATACCTCTACTAGTGCCTAATACTTAGAATGTTTTCCTTTACGTTTTTACTAGGTAGGTAGACTATAGTATTATTACTATACCTTTACTAGAAAGCTAAGGCAAGAATAAATATAATAATAGGCTTAACTAACCTAATAACTACTTTTATATCCTTTTATTTAGTTAGGCTATTTAGGTCTACTACCTTATTACTAGTAGCTAGACGTAAGACTATTAAGGTTATTACTTTATTATAGATTTTAAAGACCTCCTTAAGTTTAGTACTACCTTCTATAATTATATTAAGATTTTTAGTAAATAGATTATAAGCTTCTAGATTACTAAAGCTTATAGTGTATAATTATATCCTAGCTACTCTATAGTTTAGTTATGCGCTAGTTTACTTAATCTACTTAGCCTTTAATATAGCTAGCCCTAGAAAGCTTATAAAAGCTAATTTATTATTATAGAGAAATACTGCCTTATTATTAGTTTTAGCGTTATCTAAGTTAATTACTTAAGCTAATATAGCTGTCTTAAACTAGTACTTTGCGTCTTTAATAGTTTTTCTTTAGTATACTGTAGATATTAGCTAATAGGCAGTTATATAATTTCTATTTATAAATAAAATCTTAATACTTTTAGGATTTACTATCTTTTATATTCTATATAATATAAACTACTTATAAATATTTATTATATACTGTATTATTTTATCTATATTTCTATCTTTTATAGCCTAGAATATTTAAGCCTACTTCTTACTTAGCTTAGTCCTACTTATTAAATTCTATTAAGTAACTATTAGTATTCTATTATATAAGATAGTACTATCCTTAGATACTTTAAAATCCTTTCTAATCTAAGAAAAGAGCTTATTTTTAAAGTTTAGTTTTAATTTACTAAGGTTATTCTAAATAACTTCTTACTAGTTTCTTATAGAATAAGATAAACTTTTAATACTAATAAAAGTATAGTAGATAAAAGTAAGTACTTCTACTATACTATTCTTAAATAGTATTCTAGATAGTGCCTAAGCCTTCTACTAATATCTATAGTTGCTTTTTCTTATATACTAGTACGTATTAAAGAAGAGTATTAATAGGTTCTTTACTTTATAGAACTTATTATAAATAGTACGCCTATAGATTACTTAGTTCTATAGAATTATTTACTTAGTATTATTTTTAAAGCCTTCTTAAAAGTAGATCTACCTATATACATAAAAGGTTTATATCTTAAGTAAAGTTTTAATATATATTATTATAGAGCTATACCTATAGATTAGAAAGAATTATATAGATAATAGTACTAGATAGTTAAGTATAGAGTCTTTATAACTGTCTACCTCCTTAGGTAGATTCTAATTAATGTATTCTAAGTAATATTTACTATATAGCTAGTAATTACTCTTTAAGGTATCTTTATTACTATTTAGGCTAGCTAGTAGACTACTAGTATCTACTCTAACTCTTATCTTATTAAGCTTATTATTTATAGGTCTTTTTATTAAAGGTAGTATTAGGACTTTACTAGCTGTAGTCTTTTAGTAAAAATAAAACCTTATAGTAAATTCCTATATAGGGTTAATCTAAAACGTTCTCTTAAATATACTAATAGCCTTTATTTACTAAGCTTCTATAAACTTTCTAGCCCTAGTAATAAGAGTTAGTACTAGGTAGAGTTTATAGTTATAGAAGATACTATTAAGTTTATAATAATAAGTAAAGGTAAACTTAGCGCTTACTTTTAATAGGTATAGGCTAGGAGTATTACTTTCTACTAGGTAGTATATTACTAGGTTTACGTTCTTTATAATATCTATATAGTTAATAAAATATATATACTCTACTACTAGTATAAGAAGGTATATTCTTATCTTTCTAAACTTTATTATGTCTATATATATACTACTATTATAGTTTCTAAGTTTCTATACTATAAGCCTATAGGTAGTAATTAGTTAGTGTAGTTTAAATATTATAGTAAAACCCTACTTTATAGGTAGTAGAATAGAGGCAGTTTCTCTAAGCTTTAATATATAGATTCTAAAGAAGTTTACAGTATTATTATAGTCTATATTATAGTAGTACTTTATATACTGCCTAGCCTTACAGCTAATACTATTCTAGAAACTATATAAGTTATTAGAATTATAACTAGTTTATTACTATTAAGTACCTTATATATACTATTAATTAAGAGCTTCTTACTTAATATTCTTTTTTATTAACTTAAGTTCCTACTTTACGTCTATATTTATATTAATTTTGTTATCTATATCTAAGTTACTATCTACTTTATTCTTTCTTATTAGGTTTATAGGGTCTAGGTTATAGATATTAAGTAGCTTTTTATTATTACTAAAAAGGTTCTAGATTAGTAATAGAGAGCTTTTATATAATAGTAAGCTTTTAGGTAATAAAGTTCTTTTAGGTAACTATATTCTTTAAAGCTAAGAAGGCTATTAATATACCTTTTTAAAGACTAGCCTAGTAGAAACCTCCTTACTTAAGCTATTAACTTATAGTAGTTTTTTATAGGCGTTCTTTCTTTATATAAAGAGTGTAGTTTTCTTTCTTTTCTTCTAGCTAGTTCTAGAGGATATACCCTTTAGACGTAGATAGCTAGGTATAGTAATAGATAGCTACTTACTATTATACTATTAATAATTATCCTTTTACTTCTAGCTAGTAGGCTTATATTTTCTTCTATCTATACTTTTAAAGGCGTTTAATATTTAATAAGAATATCTTATATATAGTATATCTTCTATTTTATCTATATTACTATTACTGTAAGATAATAGTACTAAAGCTTAGTAGTCTTTATCTTCCTCTTTAAAGGCTATATAGGTATTCTTATTAAATAGGTCTCTACTAAGATTTATATCTTTTAAACATATAAAGTACTTAGGCTATTCTATATATACTTAATTATAACCTTAGGTATATAATAGTATTAAACTAGCTCTTAATAGTAATTATTTAGGTAATATCTTATAATATTTTAGTTTAGGTAGTTAAAAATTATTATATTTAGAGCCTTTTTAGTTAAGTAGAGTCCTAAAAGTATCCTTTAGGTTTATAGTAAAGTTAGAAGATTACTTATAGTAATATAAAGACTTTTAAGCAGTATACCTTAGTATTTCTTACTCTTATCTTTCTTCTAGATAAGAAATTATATAGTGTTATAGCTTTATGTAAGTTATTATTAGACAGTAGTAAAAAGATTTATCTTATACTTAATTAGTAAGTTATCTAGTACGTCTCTTACCTTAGGGCTTTCTATTATATTATTTAAGTTCTACTTTTTAAGAATATAGTTACTAAAAGCTTTATAATTAAGCTACTCTAGTTTAACTTCCTTAGTAGCTTTAACACTTACCTTTTTACTTTTAAGAACTAGTAATTAAGGTAATAACCTAAAGGGTTCTAAGCTAGGTATATTAATCTATATAGAAATTAAAGCTATATATAATAGAATTTATTATTTTTATAGTAGGTATAACGTTAGAGGCAGAAGTGTTAATAGGTAAGTACTATAGTTATAGTTATAGTTAGTAGTATTAAATAGTTACTATAGTAGGAGGTATAGATTTAGCTTATACTTAGAAGCTAAAGGTAGCTTAAAGAGCTTTAGTATTTTAGATTCTAATATTTAGTACTTTTTATTCTTTACTAGTATCCTATAATTATATTCTTTAGAAAGGAAGAGCTTATATATAAATCTATATAGGTACTAAATCTAATTTAAAGAAAAGCCTAGGTCTATAAGTATATATAGTATTATGTTCTTATACTATTCTTTAAAACTTATTCTTTTAAATACTTTTAAGGTATTACTTTACTCTTTACCCTCTTTAAAATCTTTAAAGTTAGAGTATTACTATATATACTTTATAATATTATGTATAACTAAATTCTATAAAGTTAAACTTAAGCTAAGCCCTTTAGTAATAACTTTTCTATTAAGAGTATTATTCTTAGCTTTTACTACCCTGTTTTTATACTACTATTAGAGTTATAGTAGATTTATTAAAGTAGTTAAATTAAATATAGGTATAAAATATACTATATTACTTCTAAGTTAGCAGCTTTACAGATTAGACTTAGTATAGGTAATCTATAATAATAGGTATATTAGTAAATAAACTGCGTAACTATAAATAGAAGTAGTAAAAATTTTAACTTACTAAAGCTATATATAAATGCCTCTACTGCTTTATAGAGAGCGTAGAGATAGTATATAGGTAGATAAAGAAAGTATAGTAAGTATAAATATAGGCGTAATATTATAGTAGTAGGTAAATGTGTAGTAGTATAGTAATAGTAATAAGGTTATTATTAGTCTAGAGTAGCTTAATATAAGACTAATACTATTGTATTTACTTACTTAGTTAGTTTATATATAAGGTAAAGTAAATAGGTAAAAGTAGGTAAGATTTCTTAGAATAAATAAAGGTAAGATTATAATAACTAATAGTATAATAAAGGTAGCTAGTATATATAGCTATATATAAAAAAATATAAATATAACAGTAATATATAAGATAAAATTAGATAAGAAAATAGAGTAATTAATAAGGATAGTAGTATAAGAAGATTACGTTTATTACAGTTATATCTAAGAAAAATTTATACTATATTCCTTAATAAAAAGTAATAGTAATAAAAAGTGCTAGTAGAAATATTATAATACTCTATATAAGATTAAAATACTTATAGAATATTTTCTAGATAAGAAAGTACTAAAATAAACTATAGAAATATACTATCTAGTATACTAGTAAAGCTTTAATATAAAGAATATATAATATCTAGAGTATTTATTAATATTAGTAATAGTTATAACAGTAGTTATAGATAGTTAGGATAGTTAGAACAGCTAGAATAGTTAAGATAGTCTATAACTATCTACTAGTATAAGTATTATTATAAGTAATACTAAAGTTATATTATTTTATAATTAGTTATATATACTTATCTAGGGCTTCTAAGTTAGTGTAGAGGAGAGGTCTTTAACGCCTCTTTAGGCACGTGTAGCTTAATACTAGATAGGATAAGTATATTATTAGTTAATACTCTGTTAAGCTCCTATTAGAGGCTTAACTGCTATATACTAATCCTAGATTATATAACCTATATTACATAATCTTACTTTAATACTCCTTTAGATATACTTTCTATATTACTCTACTATATTCCTCTCTTACTTAAATATCTAAGCCCTATTTAGATTCTAAAGTGCTATTATACTAACTAAAACAATAGTATTATTAATCTACTATTATAAAAATCTACCTTTACTTATAATTAAAACTTAAGGTAATTACTAATTATTAACTACTTAATTCTATTGTTTATTATTACCTAGTGCGTATAATAGAAATTCTTAATTACTTATAATTATAGAGTAGTCTAGAGTTATAAGCTTAGGCTAGCTACTACTATATATAATAGAGTTCCTACTCTTAATCCTCTATTATTCTTTATTTAACTTTTCCTTATATATCTACTCTAATCCTTAATTTAACTTTACTTAATATAGCCTCTATTAACTTTTTTATAGGCTCTACTACTACTAGCGCTGGCAGCAGTAGTTAGGGTCCTCCTAGGGGTAGCTAAAAGCCTTCTGTTAAGAGTAATATAGAGACTCCTCTATATCCTTACTTTACTTAGTTAGTATCTAGCTATATTCTTAAGTAGTATAAGTATTATTCTAATTATTACTTAAGTTTTCTTTACTAACAGTACTTATAGTTTATAATTATACTAACTAGATTATTAATTAGTAACTAATTATTAATCTTACTTACTTTTTCTTCTAGTTAGGCTAAATAGGTATTACTCTTAGGCCTATACTCTAAGTTACTACTATTTACTAGAATAATAATAAGTTAGAGATTACTATCTAATTCTTTAATACTAGTAATACCTATATTACTATTACTAACTTCTTTAGTCTTAGTACTCCTAAGAACTCTATAAAGTATAGTTACTACTCTACTAATATACCTACTACTATCTAGTAGGGCTTTAGTAGAAGTGTTACTTATAACTTCTTTAATTACTACTTATACTATACTAATACTAAGAGTAAGCTTACTCTTAAGTTTAGTAGTAAGTATTATTAGTCCTACTTTAAGGGTAAGCTTCTAAACTATAGGGCCTATAATAAGTATTAGATTAATAGTAACTATACTAGCTATAACTTCTATTATAAGTTCTTTTAATCTTTAGTTACTTTTTATACTAATCTCTTAGTAGTAGGTACTCTAATTACTAATTCTTTACTTTAAGATATTACTAAGTCTATTCTTTATAATTATAAGTTACTCTAGGCTCCTATTAGGGCTTCTAGAGGTTATTACTCTTATTCTAGTAATATAATTATAACTTATAAGTTTAATAATAACTCTAATAATAAGGACTTTATTACTTCTAAGAGTAAGGGTAAGGGTAAGAAGAAGTAAGTAGGTAATACTTTATTAAGGTTAAGTAATTTTAGCTATACTAGTTATAGTTTTAGGCAGTTTTTAGGTAGTTTTCCTTCTCTTTAAGGTCTCTGCTAATAGTCTTCTAGTAGCTTAATACTACCTTAATAGGAAATATAACTTCTTATTATAAATTATTTCTTCTTATAACTATTTATTAGTTTAATAGAAAATATTTAAGTAACTAGCTAATAAAATAATAGGAAATTAAGTAAAAATAGAATAATAAAAGAAATAAATATAAACCTCTAACTTTCTCTCTTACTTAAGTAGATAGGCTATTACCTATTAAGATTAATTTATTTATCTTTATCTTTATTAAATTACTAATACTCTATTAGGTTAAATTTAGGAAGTTAGGGGATTACTACTCCTTTAGCATAAATAGGCCTTAGAGCTACTGCCTTTACTACTATATATTAGGTTATTCTGTATTCTAAGGTTTAGTTAGGCTGTACTACTTACTTCTAATTAAGTGCTAGTATATTTTTATAGTAAGGATTCTCTAGAGCTTTATTAGCACTCTATTAGTTCTAGGCCTTTTAGAACTTAACTACTATTTTCTAATAGAACTTCTTTAGCTAATTACCTAGCGTATAGCTCTAAAATACTTATCTATTAAGCTTCTTAAGTTAGTACTAGCCTTTACTTCCTACAAAGCTTATTTAGTAAAAACCTTACTATTTTAGCCTAAACTTTACTATTATTAATATATTAGTATTAATAAGAGAGTCTTATAGTAGTATAAGATCTCTAATAGCTAGTAGGCTGTTATAAATTTATTTTAAGTTATTAAAATACTCCTTATTAGTATACCTTAGTTAAATAGTTTAATTAATAGCTTCCTAGAGCCTATTATTTCTAGTATAGAACTATTAGGCCTATAGGGTAAGTAGTAAGGCTGTATTAAAGACTTCTTTCTAAAGTAGAACTTACTAGGTTAGAATAGAAACCTTAATTAGAAGGATATACTCTTTTCTATATATTAAATATATAGGAGTTTTACTAGTAGCTCTTTTAACAGTTACTTAGTTAGCCTATAAGATATATAATAAGTTCTTAACCTAGTTTCCTTTTATCTTTTTTAGAGTAGCTACTAGTAGTTTATACTCTTTCTTAATAAGCCCTTAGCCTTATAGATAATAGGTACTTAAGACTACTCTATTAATTCTAAATAGTTTCTAAAGATCCTCTATAAGGCCTTTATTCTCTAAGCCTCTATTACAGCTTATCTTTAATAGTACTCTCTATTAATAGAAAATTAACTTCTAGATAAACTTAGCTATTAATCTAGAATTATTCTTTATAAGACCTTACGCTTCTAGCTATTATAATAAGTAATTATATATAACTACTATATAGCTTTTACTTTTTAAGCCTCTAGGTATAAAGACTATATTAATAGTTACCTATATCTATAGTATTAATAGTAGTTTAGTAGAGTAAAGTTACTTATATAATTAAGTATTACTATAAACCTAGTATTAAGTATATATTTAGACGTACTTCTTTATATTATTATAGAGGCCTTTCTAGTAGTATCTTGCCTAGACTTTTTACTAGGTACCTTTTTTACTCTAATAGCCTAATTCTTTATAAAGTATAGTAAGAATAGCTTTTTTTAAAGCTTTATTATTAACTACTCTTTAGAGAGGGTGCCCCCTAGAGGGTATCTAAAATAGGTATTATTCTTAAATATTATATTATAAAGCCTTCTTCTTAAACTTAGTAAAAGCCTTTTTTAATATACCCTTAAGATACTTTTAAAATAGAATCTAGTAGGCTAACTCTTAAGAGGCCTCTAAGTAGGTATTATCTAAAGAAGTGTTACTAAAGAAGGTATCTACTATATATAAGGTATACTATAATATATTATTACTAAAGTTAAGCTATATTATATTTAAGGCTAAGTTAATAAACTTATTAACGCTTTCTTTAGGGCTATTAGAAGGCTCCTATCTAGGTTCCTTAAGGCGTCTTAATAGAGCGTTAGTAACTATATTCTTTTTCTCTTAAATATAGGTAATATTAAAGTCCTATATATTTAGGTATACTAACTAATAAGTTATTAGAGAACTAGGTAGGTTAGTAGCACTTTATTAGAGCTAAGCTACTAGAGTCTTTATATCTATTTTAATAAAGAATCTAATATTATATAAGTAAGAGTAAAATTTCTTAATAGCTAGGAGTAGTACTTTATACTTATACTTACTAGTGTTCTAGTTTTACTTAAGTTTTAACTAGACTTTACTCTTAAATTAAATAGGGTATTACTTTTTACTCTTACCTTTCTATATTAAGGCAGTACCTTAGCCCTTCTTACTACTATTAACTATAAGGATAATTAATTAGAAAAGTGCTAAATAGTTAATTAATATAAGTACTAGTAAAGAGTAAAGAGCTTACTTTAGAGTATTTATTAAAGCTTAATAGTCCTTAGTTTATTTAAATATAACTGTCTTTTAGAGTAGGCTAAATAATAGATTAGCTATTAGAGTAAAGTTAAAAATCTAGACTTTATAGTAGATATAGATACCTAGGAAAGCTTAAATATCTTTTATATAAGTATAGGCTAGCTACTTTATAATCTTCTTAACCTTCTAGTTATTAAGGTATTAGCTATAGTAATTAACCTAATAGCTAACTATTATTATTAAAGAGTAATAGAAGTTAGATTTATATTCTAAAATAGTTGTGCTAGCCCTTTTAATATTAGCTAGCACTTAATTAATATTTATAATATACTCTGTAATATATTATTAAATCTCTAGCTTAACTTCTTATCCTTAATAATTAGTCTTTAGGCCTTTAATATACACGTTATTAAGGTAAGGTATATATACTATAGGGATATACTCCTAACAGATCTTTGTTATAACCTAAATAAACTTAGTAACTAAATTTATAGCTTCTTAAGGTAAAGTACACTGCCTTATAAGTCTAAGAGAGGTATAGAATATAGTAATATCTCTTAATTAAATATTAAGTTCTATTTAATTATATCCTAAAAAGAAGTTAGTAAGGAATATAATAAAGCAGCTAGTAAATTCTTTTATAAACTTATTAGGGTTTAGAGGTAGGTTTATATCTTAAATTATAACTCTATTTATTTTCTAGGCATTATTAATAAGTTAATAGTCCTAATCCTTTTTCTTAACTAGGAAATATAGGTTATAATATTAACTTTTATATAATTTAAGAGTCTCTTAGTTAATTTATTACTATACTATCTTAATTACTATATCCTAAAGCTTTTTTAGGAGCTAAAATTAATTAGCTTACTAGGCTTTATATAGTACTATATTAATTATTACTAGAGGAGATACTTTATAGCTAATCTAACTAGATTCTAAGAAGTCCTAAGTAAGAGCTACCTCTCTCTAATAAAGTATCTTAATAAGTAGGTCTCTTTCTCTTAACTAAAGATTATCTAATATCTTTATTTCTAATAGTTTCTTAGGTGTTAGCTATATTCCTCTAAGGAAAGATATATATCTTAGTTTAAAGTATTATTAGAAAGAGGTTCTAGTAGAGTTCTAGTTTAGTACTTACTATACCTAAGCTCTCTTCTTTTAGTTAATTTAACTATTAATTATATAAGGTTCTTAGCCTAAGTAGTTTATAGGTTTAACCTTAATTCCTTTCTACTTATATATTATATTAATTTAAATTAGTAGGTATTTTTCTAAGAAATCTTCTTAAAAGATCTTTATAGAATAAGTTAAATATTTACTACTAAGTATATTAACTATCCTACTAAGTACTTTATAAGTAGCAGTTAAGGAAAGATCCTTATAAGTAACTATTATAATACCTATATTATCTTAAAAGAGGATGTTTCTAACGCTATCTTAGCTAATACTACTAATATTTAGCTATATAAAGAAATAATCCTTTATTAAGATAATAGGTTTTATTACCTTTATTAACTACTAATTACTAACTATACTTATTATTAAGGCTATAGTCTTATTCTACTATAGTTAGGTTAAGTTAATATATATTTACTCTAGGCTTTTAACTTATTATTATTAAGGGGATATAATACTAGGCTTTATATCCTTCTGCCTTTTCCTAGCAATTAAACTGTAATACTTTAGGTATTAATATAATTACTTTTTATATATATAAATCTTATACTTATATTACCTTCTTTACTCTAGATTTAGTAGTAAGTAAAGCTATTTAAAGTATATTTAAGCTTTACTTAAGTATTAGACAGGAAAGAGTTACTAAGAATAATTATATTAGTATAGTAATTAATAATAAAGAAGTTTATCTAAATAGAAATTAATCCTACTATTATAACAGCTCTCTAGATAATCCTAAGAAAACTACCTAATATACTATTAGCTAAGACTATTCTTATATTTCTTATTTTCTAAGGGAGTATTATAATAGGCAGTATTATATTATTAGCAGTTTCTTATTAAATAGTATTTAGCTCTGCTCCTAAGTTAAGAAGACTTAGAAAGTAATTTCTTAATATACTAACTAGAACCTTTAAGTAGTTATAATAGATATATTTAATACTAGCTTACTTATTATACTCTCTTCTAGCTAAAGTTTTTAATTATATATTAGCTTTAATTTAGGAATTATTTAGTATTTAATTAATACTTAATTAAACCTTATTAACTTTAGGCTTATTTTAATAAACTACTAATATTAAGTAATATTAGTCTACTTTACCTAATAGAGCTTTAATAAGAATATAGTTAGAAACTAACTATATATTTATACTAAATATATAGAACTTAAAGGTAGGTTAGAAGTATTCTTTCTTTATACTTAACTTATTATTAGATTCTACTTTTATTACCTAAATAGAGTTATTTTAGATAGCTTTAAACTTTTCTTAGGTATATATATTTTAGAATATTTTCTTTTAAACTTCTACTATATTTCTAAGTAGTACTCTAATAGGTATTACTATAGAGGCTAATATAATAGTATATATTACTTTATTAGTAGTACTTAGGATATATTTAAAGAAATAAGCCTTCTTAGGTCTAACTCTTCTTTAGGGCAGCGTATTAGTTATTTCTAAATCCTTAATATAGTTTTAAGAGGTTAATATTAGTATAAAGGTTATATTTAGGGCAGGTAGAGCTTAAGTCTTCTACTACTAGCTTCTTAGTTAAATTAATTAATTATTAGTAGGCTGTTTAGTAATAGTAACTAGTACTAGCTTTACTACCTTAGGAGTACCTAGTACTTTCTTATTAATAGGCTTTTGTAAAGGTTCTTTTTATTAGATTTAAGCAGCTAAAAGCTTAGCGTTTAAGTAGTAGAATATTAGGTATTAAAATAATTAAATATTACTACCTAAGTTTATAGAGGCTTTCTAAAAAGCTTTATAGTCTTTAGCTAATATTATACCTAAGTCTTAGTTAGGGTTTAGACTAGTAACTATAGAATTATTTTAAATTACTATTAATCCTACTAGCCTTCTCTAATTAGCCTTTATAGTAAGAGGATTAAGGTCCTATTTTAGCTATATCTACTTAATATTTAAGAGGATAGGATTAATCTAGCTATTTATACCTAGGTTTATAACACGCCCTTAGGGAGAGGAAATAGTGCCTTAGATAAGTTATTAGTTAGTATCCTAGTAGTACTAGCTATTTTTAATTAACTAGGTAATTAATAGGTAGTTAGCTTTCCTATAACTAACCTTCTTATATATAAAGTAGGTAAATAGTATTTAAGTATTCTAAGTAGCTTAACTTAGAGTTTTCTATTAATTATATTCTAATCCTAAAGGAATAGTATTCTAATTTACTATTATATTATAGGGAGCTGCCTAATTCCTTAAGTAGTAGTTATTACCTAGTATAACTATACTTTATAGCTAAGCTTTACTAACCCTCTAATTTAATAGGGTTTATATATAGGCTGTAATACTTTAGTTTAATAATAGCTTAGTCTTACGTAGTATTTATTATACTAAAATAATATTAGCCTAACTAATCTTAAGTTAATATAACTTATTAGTTAATAAGTTAACTTTATACTAGGTAGCTAGAACTCCTAGAGGTAATTACTAAGGTTTCTTACTAATAGTTATCTAGGGAACTTAATAGGTTATTAGAAAAGCTACTTAGAACTAAGTTATTCTAGTAATATCTAATAGCTAGTAGTCTAAATAGGTCTTAGGGATATAGAATTAGAATTCTTAGGTTAGGCTAAACTTTTTTATAGCCTTATTAAGGTTTAGTAGGTATACTTCTTTCTTAATATTTACTTAGTAGC